GAACTTACGGCGAAGGCTGTCGATATCCCGCTCAGGCCAACTGCCATCTCGCGCGTTATACCGCGCGGTTACAGCATCGCATCTCAGTGGTATTTCCCTTGCGAAAGAATGCGCTTGACGATTTCCAGCATGTGATGCATTTCGTGCAGCGAGTACTTGGCAGACCCGGTAGGTTTCCCCATATTGATCTGGTTGTACACACAAGGCATCAAAGCAGTATAGTTAACGCACAGCCACGCTCAGTTGCATCCAGTAATGAGCTTACACGTACCAAGGAGTGTTGTTGGCAGTGAGAAGATGTGGGCTCCACAGTTGAAACTCGGAAATGAGCTGTGGCGCAGCAACTGATCAAGCAGTATCTCCTTGACCGCCAAAAGTCCTTCATCCAGATGATGCAGGACGTCACCGCAAAACCACTCTCATTAATATGCAGACCATGGTGGATCCCGATACCGCCACAGAGATACTCTCACCCCCCCCCCCCACCACCACCACCGACGAGAAATCGTTCGAGAAAATAGAGGAACGAGCTCTAGCAAGTACAGTTACGGGTCCTCTTCATGCTGGATGGATGCGTGGATACACTTGGTGTACTTACAACGGCACACAAACCAGAGGTCCGACCCGTAGCTCACAGTAACCTCGCATCCAGACGCTATGGGACCGGTGGTGACGACAACAACAGTGTGGCGAGCTCCGTTTGCGAATTCAAAAAATTCAGCGTTTGCATCACACGCATGGTTAGCGAAGCGCATGCGACCGCCCAGAGGATGCGCATCGATGTCAACATTCCTCGAGCGCATACCATCCGTCCGTGTACGAAGGGTGATCATGAAGGCGTCGCTCCTCTGACGCTTAGCCCGGTCGGCCTCCATATAGCGAAGCCGACCTAGGTACTCTCCGAGCACCTCACCACGTCCAAGGGCGACATTGGCAACCAGTGCGTACTTCCCCGTAATAGGCGCCTGCTTGGCAGCGACCTTGTTTGTCTCACGGGGGCGGTTCGCGCAAAGCTCCTCCCAACGCAGTACTTGTCGGTGCAAAACACATTCATGTTCGCGTTGCGGCACGTGTCAATCCGGCATGGACCCGAGCAGCCGCAGTCTCCGTAATGGAACACGAACGACAGTCGAATCGAAGCCGGGTTGTAGTAGTCGTGCAGGTAAACTACCCGAGGAGGTCAGGGAGACGCCACAAAAGCTACTTCAGATGTAGAAGCGTAGTCGATGTCTGGGCAAGGTGCTGACGTACCCGCGAGCCTACTCATAGGACTTGTACTGATCGTCGCGGTAGCGCTGGGCGAGGACTCTGGCTTCGAGGAAACCTTCGGTGGCGCTCGTTTTACTCTGACTTCGTGGACTACGTAGTTGGGGTGGTGTGGAGGAGGAAGATTCTTCTTGGGGCGGGCGTACAATCCATACGGGGGTTGTTTCCGCTGCGGTGAATTGCCATGATCGCCGACAACGCCCTGGCGGGTGTCAGTGAGGCTTCTCTCGCTGTAGAGTCTCGCTCGAGAGCTCCTCGAACTGGCGGACGAGCGGCGGCCCCTCTATGACATACAGAGATGTCCAATCGAGAGGTGGGTACTAGGGTAGGTGCCGTCAGGGCAACCCGACCGCGCGGCTCGGACTGAAATGCAGTTGGCCAGGTTTTACCTCCTCGTTTGCTCTCGCTGCTTGAACCAATAAAAATGATCTCACGTGACCCCCATGTAGCTCCATCTTCTTCTTCTAATGCAGCCATGCAATTATTGGTTAGTTGTAGGCTACTATATACCAGTCCACGGCTACAGCATTCATTGATACTTACCCATTACTATACCCTTGCCTACTTCTTTAACCGATTTGGAAATGATACTTAAACACGAAAGGCGGAAATCAAGCAGCATAGTTCATCGGCATATGAAACAGTTGGCGGTGACCCGGGTCACACCAATGACCCGGTACTCAACTATTATATCATAGAACATATGCATTATTTAAGTTTCTGTAATCAGGCAATGCCGACTATCCTTTTCTTGATGCAGCTCTGGATGCACTGCAACTTCGATCCAACGTCCGAGTTAAGCTAAATGATGTCGCTCCTAAAATTTGTGGTGTCGCCATCAATATCTGAGGTTGCCAGAACTGAATTGTTGTTATTGGCGTCGACTGCGTGGTCATTAGTCATCACTGTGCTGCTAGAAGTGCCCGAATTCATATCATCTATATGCAGGCTGCTTGGTATTTGTGGACGGGGTGTCAGAAAGCGCAGGATGGATGTGAATTTTGTTGTATGAGCTTGTTGCTTCCGAGATCGTCCAACCGGTCGCTTTGCTTGCACGCCTACAGCTACTTTTCTCTTCGTAATTCTTGCATCTTTGTTAGCGTCACTAGGCTTGTCCTCATTCTCGCTGAATGCTGATTCATCCAGATAGTAAGTTAAATACTCGGCAGGAATCGAGAAATATTTTAACGACAACGATTTGAGTTTTTTCATCGTCAGTGGAAGAAGCGGTTGCCTTGGCAAACGAGCGCTATCGATAGTAACAGTGTCAAGATTGTATCCATTTCCAAAAAGATCCGTAAGAAACGCGGAGCGTATAGCATTACGGCTGCCGGTGCCGATCAGCGAAAACACTTCGGAGTCTGAATCAGGGGAAGACACTAAGTGCCGCATTGTAACAACTCCAAAGTCAATCTCGAAAAACAGTTACTCGTGTAGCTTGTTGGCATCTTACCAAAGTACTTCGACAACAAGCCTTCCCATTCACAGAAAAAAAAATTGTCGATCACTTGTGCGATGATCTAGAAACTGAGCCCGTACAGAAATAGTTTCATTTACTTGTGTGATAATTTACTCCGGAATGTACATATTTGTACCCTTCATTTTGTTTCTGCACCACGCTACTACACGATCGGCAGCGTTATGCGAATGACCGGGAAGGAGAAACAGTAGCACCACTTTTTTGTAGAGCACAAGTAATAGCATGGCAAAAAATCTGAATACTGTACGGGATTTATTCTGCCCAACCAACGCAATTGTCCAGTATTACAAGTAGTGTGAGAGAGCTCGGGCTCATCATGACCTGCAAATTTGTAGCGCTTTCGCTGTTCGATGTGGTGCAAGAGCCGTAAGCTACATAAAGCATCGGCACCTTTGCCTTGACCACGCTCGTCGTAAAGTAGAACGTTATTGATACCATCCGTGAGGTCAGCAATAACAAAATTGTGCATCATCAGGTTCGAGTTAAACTAGTCCGCTGATGGGTTTTTGCTGTTATAAACCGGAAGAGGAAAACTTCCCCCAAAAACCTCAATTTGTATTTGCAGTGTCGGTCTGGCAACATGGACCACGGGCCCCATATTAAGTGGCATTTCAACGTGATCTGGGATAATTTCTTCAGGAACTGTGTGCTTTGGAGCCTTCTGAGCAACATACTGCTTCACAAAGGCCGACATAGCCCGACGTTGATTTATAGCTGCATCAAGGTGAGGTTCCTTTTCTGCAACTAGCTCCGTACGCTCAGAATCAGGGATGTCTGGATTCAGTAGCAGCGTCTCAATTCTCGTGCAAGCGTCGCACAAATCCTCTTTTGAACGCGATAAACGAACACCAGAAGAGTAATAGTGTACGTACTGGAGCCATCGCGAATACTCCATAATACGTTGGCTTTGGTCTTCAGCTTTTGTTTTGTATCTTGACCATAATAATTTCTAAGTTACACCAGGCTCCACTAAGTACTGCCGTAAATTACGATGCGAACATGGATATCCTTCTTCAAGTTCCCATTCGTTACAGTCTGTAATTAGAAATTTGATGTCATCATCTGAGTAAGAGTGAGTTGGGCGGCTACGCTGCCGCCGAGTGTGCAGAGTGTCGATCCCATTCTTGGTTACGGCTTTAAGACGCGCTCTATCTTGGATCCACCAACGCCGAATATCGCTCTAACTTGTGCGTCTGGAACGCCTTGGCCAATCAAGGAGAGAACCATACCCTCCGCGTGAGGGTGCTCGGTCCCGCCCCATTTGGATTCTAGTGACTTGTACGTGGCCTGTAATTGCTCAGCTTTCTCAGTGCCAAGTAGAGCACAAGCACGCTCAAACGCAGTCAGTCTATTCCGAGGCTTTTGTTTCTTCCGTGGTGCAGTCTGACTCGAGCCACCTGTGCCGCCAACTCGTCGTTCTGTCGTAGGAGGGTCGCTCATTTGAGCCAACAGTGGAAGGATCGCAGTCCAAACGCGAGCTGTTACTGAGGTACCTGGTGCTAAAATTAAATAAATATTTCAGATTTTGCTTTCATAATAGTTGGTGACCCGGGTCACCGCCAATTGGTTCATATGGCCGTCGTAAAGAGGGAGTTTAATGAGACCACGTTTACGTCTCATCAAATTTTCACTATTAATATCATTACGTCAATATGCAGGGTCGTAAGACGGTCTTACCTTTTACAGATTTGGGCGGCGTCCAATAACTGGCTGATATACCGGGTGGCTCCGCCGTTTACCCTAAAATTTCACGGTACATACCGGTACAGCACGCAGGTTGCTCGAGCAACTGTCTTGTTATGTTGTGGGAATCCCGCAACATAACCTGACCGCTGCGATGATAAATCGGTAGAAATCTTCTGTTCCTCGAAACCATCGGTGATGGATGACCTTGCACGAGCTTTTTGCTTGCCCTACGTGGGCGACGCTGATATTCGGTTTTACCAGTACGTTATGCAGTGCTGCAAGAACTACTACACGGACCCATCCGCCTACGTCGCTCCGTACGCTACGCTAGTGCAAAGCTCGGGTTTTGGGAAGAGTCGAATCTTGTATCAAATAGCCAAGAATATCGCCTCTATCGAGCTGCCGGAGAGCGATATGTTCGACATTCGACTGCTTTACGTGTGCGCGCGCAACGTTGTATACTCGACTGGATTTCCAGCCGCGACTCCAAGCCTCTCTAACTTCTTCTTTGGGAACAATAACATTTCTAGTCGTCGATTACAGGCTGCTTTGGATTACGCGTGTACGAACTGGGAGACGATAAAGAATGACTGGCTTGGGTTGTTTGGAGCGGCTTTTATCATGGGCGCGAACACGGAAAAAACTCAGCCAACTGATATCGATTTTGGTTTGACCATAAATCTATTAAAAAGTTTGCGAATCCCTTCAGAGAACGCGCAGGGCTCGTCAAAGTTAGTAAACGAAGGTGAACGTGTTAAGGTGTTGGTGCTTGCAGTTGATGAGGCACGATATTTGCTCGAAAAAGAGGACATCAACGGAGTTAACTACTTTCGTCTCTTGCGGAGGGCATTAGTCGATGTTAACGTCGAGGGGAAGACAAGAAAAACGATGATATTTGCGGTGTTTGTCGACACAAATCCCCGTATCTGCGATTTAGAACCTTCACTTTCCACGGGTCTGGCGTCAACACATAGTATCAACACGAAGAAGGACATACATTTGTTTCCAGGTTTCGTGCTGACTCACACAATGGACGTGATGCTGAACATGGGCCAATCGCATCCTTTTGACTACAAGAAAAGCGTTCTCCAACATGATCCCGACACAACTTGGAACACGCTCGTCTCAATGGGTCGACCAATGTGGCACAGCTACGTCATGACGAAGCCGTGGAACCACCGTGGCATATTCATTCTGGCTACTTCCAAGTTGCTCTGTGGCCTGAGTCCCTTTAACAAGGAGAGCTACGGAGCGAGTTCTCTTCAAGGAGTGGCGTCACTAATGTGCCGTCTTGGATTGCGCCCGCAGTCTCACTCGGGGTTTGCAACGCAGGCCGTTTCTGACTTCATGGCAGTGCTCCACTACGTCAACTATACGTACGATGCACACATCAGTGGCTATGTGACGGAGCCCGTGCTGACTTTCGGGGCAACGCACCTGTGGTACGAGATTGACCCATTGCCGCTGGAGGAATACATACTTCCCCAATTCTTGGAGTTGTTGATGCAGGGCCGAATCGACGTCGGAAGTGTCGGCGAAGTGGTGGCGCGAATTATTTTGCTGCTAGCTATGGATGCGACCACCATGGGCGAGGACGGCTTTCGTGCCTACCGGCTGAGTGGAACCGGATCTAAACGTTTTAAGGGCCAATTTTGCTCGGTAAAGCAGCTCCTGGGACTGCTTGATGGATCGTTGAAACTGCGAACAGGTTTAAAGTGTGATAACGTCCCCAACGACGCACCCGAAAAAGACAATAACGCAAAGTCACGGCGGGAGCTTTTCAATGTGATCGACGAAGAGAATGCGACAACGGGAGCTGCAACACCAGAGCAAAGGGACAGCTTTGAGTTATGGATGAACGACTGGGGCAACTGGTGCGTTGGGTTTAGCCACTTTGTCGAGCTGACCGACTTGCCGACCACAGCAATGCTTTGGTGCCTGCTAGGTCGTCGAGCAGCGGGCGTGTTTCCGCGCGATCATGAAGAGGCACAGTTGGTAATACCGGTGTTTTGCAAGGATACCGCTGAGGTTTCTTTCATCCTGGTCAAAGTTTGGAACGAAGAGACTACTGACTGGGAGTTTCCACAGTCCGCTCTAAGGAACCTGTCACCTGCAAGCGTGTTCGCTGTGAACGAGGAAGAGGAGAGCAAACACGAGTTTTCAGAGCTCTCACCACGAAGGATAATCCGTATCTACATGAGTCTACGGGAATGCGACATTTCCATCCCGGCTCAGTCGTATCTCATCGATAATGCTAGTGCTACGAGTGTGGACGACGTGTCGTACACACTGTGCCTTCGGGGAATGTGCTGTTCACCCAGACTGGGATCGGTTTCTTCGTTAAGAAATTGGCCCTTCCTGTTGACACTGAAGATTGCGGACCAGCTCGCACGTCTCGCCGCTTCGGCCTGGTGGGATCCGTTGGCTAAGGTCAACGTAGATATGGCACGGAGGAGATTTTTCAAAGAGCTGATACCAGATGAAGAGTTGAAGGAGGCTGTTTGCTGTACTCTTAAGATACCAGGCGACGGTGGACGAGGCGACTTTTAGCAGCGGCTTTTGAGCGGAAAAGGAATATGGCACTCTGTTGCGGCCGAGAAATTGGTGGAGGTGATCTTAGGATACTTTGCTGGATTTTGGACCAGAGTTAACGTTGCTCTATGAGCGACGTATTTCCGGCGGTAGGTCTCAAAGGTAGTTTGGACCGGTGCGTTTACGACTAGGAAGAGTGTTATTAAACGAACTCCGTGGTTAACTTTAAGGGGATCTATACTCCCCCATTTGATACGACTGGATTGGTTCTCACCAATGGTTCACGCCACGATGAATCAGCAATGCTATCCAGTAGCTCTGAGACTTTGTTAGACAGCAGAAATGGCCAAAACACTAATGACCGTTGAGATCTCTTGCTGGGCCGCCGGCAGATACCTCGAAGACACAGCGAGTACGAGCCTTGGGTCCCTTCCGTATCAACAAGATACGACTGAGCTGGTTTGTCCCGATTGCTCTCCCGAATGCTCATGAAAATTCGGATTATATCGCGTGCCGGGAACTTGGATAACTCGTGTGTGTCCCGATTGATCTCGTTCTTTTGAAAAAGATTGGCAGGAGTCAGGTTGTTCAGTGCTGGTTTCGGATACATTCTGTCCACGCCACTCTTGTTCTTGACTTGAATTAAGATGAAGGAAATCCTAGCATCGGAGTCTATGTTTGATGGGTAGCTGAAGATCGGGATGAGCAAATCGGCCGCCTTCTGATTGCGTGGAAATACCCCGGCTGCACGACGGCCTAGCAAGAACCACAGTGTTGCCTTCGTTGGAACAGTAGTGAGCTCAATAAAGTTGCTGAAACCAACGCTCCAGCTGGCCCACCCGTCCCGCCAGCTATAAAAGTCAGCCCTCTCCGTGTCAAGCACCTTTTTCAGCTTCTTGGTGTCATCTCCATCTTCCTTATAAAGCTCGATAGCTTCAGGGAGGCGTGCACCGTCAAGTTGATCCAGAAACTGCTTCACCGAGCAAAATTGACCCTTAAAATGTTTAGATCTGGTTCCACACAACCGGTAGGCACGAACGCCGTCCTCGCCCATGCTGGTCACATCCATAGCTAACAGCAAAATAATTCGCGCCACCACTTCGCCGACACTTCCGACGTCGATTAGACCCTGCATCAATAACTCCAAGAATTGAGGAAGTATGTATTCCTCCAGCGGCAATGGGTCAATCTCGTACCACAGGTGCGTTGCCCCGAAAGTCAAAACGGGCTCCGTCACGTAGCCACTGATGTGTGCATCGTACGAAAAGTTGACGTAGTGAAGCACTGCCATGAAGTCAGACACGACCTGCGTTGCAAACGCCGAGTGAGACTGCGGGCGCAATCCAAGACGACACATTAGTGACGCCACTCCGTGAAGAGAACTCTCTCTGTAGCTCTCCTTGTTAAAGGGACACATGCCGCAGAGCAACTTGGAAGCAGCCATGACAAGTACGTCGCGAGGATCGTCCCTGTTGTTTGAGACGTAGCTGTGCCACAGTGGCCGACCCATTGAAATGAGCGTGTTCCAAGTTGTATCGGGATCACGTTGGAGAACGCTTTTCTTGTAGTCAAAAGGACGATCCCATTGCAATCGACCTTGCTTAAGCACGATATCCATCGTGTGAGTGAGCACATATGGTGGGAATAGCATCGTCTGCTGGCCCTTGTAATTTCGCGAGGATGTTTCTCGAAAGTGAGGTGGCACGAAATCGTGAACGTGAGAGTTGGTATCAGTCAGAACCGCATACACCATCATCTTGAGTTTAGCAGTAGCCAAATCTTGATTCACCTTTTTCAGTGCTCTACGTAAGAGACGTAAGAAATTGGTTCCATTTTTGCCCTTCTTTAAAAGTAGAGCTTTGGCCTCATCGATGGCCAAAACTAATACTTTCACACGCTCGTCCTTGTGTTCCAAAAGCTCGCGCGACTTCTTACGAGTTGGGGAGTCGGTGGTGGAGTCGGATGCCATGAAAGTTGCCAGTGCCGTGCCCAACGCCTCATCGATTCTTTCACATGACACAGGTGAGTCGTTCATAGGATTCATACCGAAAAGCTCAATCCATTCAGTCTTTGCAGCCTCCCAGTTAGAGCACGCGTACGCCACTGCACTGTGCAGTCGGTCAGCAATATTCGGTTGCTTAAAGAAATACTGCGATAATATAGATGTGGCGACTGGAAAGCTTGTTGACAGCTCAACGTCATTCGAGCACACGTACAGCAACCGACAATCAAATAATTCACTTTCTGGCAGGTTCGTATTTGAGTCAGCGATCTTTTTCGCAACCTCGTACAGAATTCTACTCTTTCCGAAGCCAGAGCTCTGCATGATCGTCACGTAGGGGGCAGTGTAAGCTGCAGGGTTCTCAATGTAGAGCTTACAGCATCGCATCAGATAGCGAAAGAATTTCACGTCGGCGTCTCCTGAGTAGGAACAGCAAAACGCTTGTTCGAGGTCATGACTTGTCGTTTCTGGATCAGCGATTTTCTGGACTTCGGCCTTCAGGATTGCCTCCACCTTTGCAACGATAATTTTGTAGAGAGCGTCCACACCCGGCACGAAATAGACTTGCGCAACTCGAGCTGTTATATACGTCGTAAGTTCATCTCGTCGCCAGGAATTCCTAAGCTCGTTCTCATCGATATTCAGCTGCGGAGGTCTTTGGGTTTCTCTGAGCTTCGAATTTGCTGGAACGAGTCGCTCAAGGACTTTCCAAGCGGCATTAGAGACCTTCGTTTTCAGGGTCTTTGGTGTTTCTCCTTCTTGCTTGCCTTCTTCCATTGCTGGTCTCTCCCAAGAAGACTTTTTGGTCCGGTGCTCCTATTTCATTACAATTAACTTTCCTAGAAGTTGATTAGTGCTACTTTTAGGCGAATAAGAGAGCTCGAAAACGAGCTTTGCAGCTGGAACTTCTCTGGAATTTGCAATGCAAAGATTACCGTGCGAGCTGAGCTCGAGCTCGTTGAATGCGTGAAAACCACACTCTATTTCACCTCCTCCATCTCAGTTGAGTGCAAAAATCAATCTCGTTTATTATTCGTGTTATGGTGCTGTGGCTTGAAAGGCTACGCGCATGACTTTGTTGTCGTAGCCCTCGGTTGTATGCCCTCCAAAAACGTACATCGCATCATTGTAAACGACGGCCCTATGCCAGGCACGAGGGATCAACGGAAGATCGCACTTGGCCATCTTCCAGGTCGGGACGTCTTGGTCTGTAAGAAAAAAAGCTTTAGCACAAAAATGTCGCGTGTATTCCCGAGACTTCGTACCAGATCCGAGGTCCAACACGTACGCGTCGCCCTTTAAGCACCCAGTGTTTCCTCCGTACACGATTAGTTGGGAGCCAATGCTGGCGCTAGAGTGGGTGTAGCGTGATGCAGGTCCATGTCCTTGAGTCGCAACCTTGCGCCACACGCAGTCAATGCGTTCCTTTGTCACGAGTTCTGAGGCAACACTCGAGAATTAGCTGTAAATTTATCAAACGAGCGCAAAGCATCCACGAAAAAACGCACCAATTTCAAAAGCAAAAAGATGACCGCGACGGTATTTGCCGTCATATCCTCCAAAAATGTACATGCGGTCTTTGACAACACACACGGAATGAGTCGATGACGGTCCAGGGATGTCACCGCGAGGTTGAAGCTCCATCCACGTTGGAATCTCAGTATCTGCTTGCAAGTGCCACCAGCAGCCAGAGTTAGCCAAGCAGAATTAGCGATAACTATCCCATAATACTGTAGACGGACCAAATCGAAGAGCAAACGTATCGCTAAGTCGCTGCGGATGTCCATAACCTCCATACAAAACTGCCATGCCCTGCAATACCGTGAGGGAGTACCAGTATCGCATTGACGGCGGTGTTCCGGCAACCTCCAGCTTTTCCCACTCCCATTCTCCGGATTCTATATGAGAAGAAAATAATTAATATATAGCGTAAGATACAATAGCCACATCAGAACGAAAGACACACGTACTGAGGTTAAGTCGATGAAGCTCGGTGAGAAACTTGCCGTCAATGGTTCCTCCAATCGCATATAAATCGTCTCCGATAATGAATACCTGGAGAAGGTTACCAGCTTGAGGAGGTGTACCGCTAATCAACGGTTTAATCCAGCGAGACGACGGCTGGGCTGCGAGATCCAACATGTGCAGATCGTTCAGCCGGAGCTTGCCAACGATGCCACCAACTACTATCAGGAAGCCTCCATAAATCGCCAGTCCGCAATCGTATCGCTTATCCGGCGGAATACCCTCTGTTCTAACTGTTTCCCACTCGACTTGAGATATTGCAAGCTCCTCACGCTTAATTTTACGCGGCCTGGCTTTCCTCTTACCCACCTGGCTAGCTGGAGGTCGAGTTACAGTGGAAATAGGCTTGACGATGGACTCCGTAGTTGACGATGGCTGTCCAAACGAGGCACTGCTCATCTTTCTTAGCGATAAGCGTGGATGTCTCACTGGCCCTGGAACAAAACTGCCACTAAGAGAGGTCCTAGCTGCAACTGGAGGCGAAGGACGCTCACTGTCTGATGAGACCAGGTCATCGAGATCGATCACGTCGTCCAAGTCACTAAGGTTGTCCAGCTGCAGAGAGATGTCACTGGGGTTCGGCAGGAAATCGTGGTGCACCCTATTTGCGTCGTATCCGATTGTGCTGATAGTGTTGCTGCCGCTGCTACTCGAGTGCAGATCGTCTCTCTGAACAATAGAACCATGATAATGCCCCGACAGCATCGCAGAGGAAGAGATCTGCCACATGGAACAGCGCATCAGTATCATTTTACACAATCCAACAGTGAATGAGCAGAAACCTACTGGAGTATGGAGATCTTGTCCAGTACCGTACGAGTATCCCATCCAGCGCGTCTCTGATTCCGGTGCGCTACTCTTGCCAGCTTTGAAAAAAAGCTGTGCTTGACAGAGGGGGCAGTCACCTAGCGAGGAGAGAGACTGCTGCATGCAGGACCAACAGAGCACATGGCCACAGTCTTGGCGGACGGGAAATTGCGTTCCTCGGAGACAAATTGGACACGATATGTTCTGTGGACAAGGTGCAAGCTGCAGATGAAAGTTGTACGCTGTCTCCAGTCCGTCCCATGCGCTATCATCGACTGGGATATGTCCTGATGCAAAGAATTCCTCGTCCCCATTAATCTCCGCAATCTTTTCTTCCTTGTCGTCGTCTGTAGGACGTCCTGCATCTTGCTCTCGTTCAACAGCCGGGCCCTCTCGGCCAAAATGTCCCTCAGGTGGTGCATTGCTGTCCTCCGCAGAGGATGGAGCTGTGTTCGTCGTCGTTAAGCGCCTCATGCCGAGCCAGCGGAGGGCCAACCGAGCACCACCGGCCCTCAGGCGCTGGAGAATTCCAAGCTCCGCCTGGCCCTCGACGTGCGTGCTGTACGAAGACAGAACCGAGATTCCAGAGCTGTCTCTTACCGGTCCTTGATTGGCTGAAAAAAGGTCGGAATATGAAAAATGTACCCATTTCTATAAATGACCGAATACGGCATTTCTAACTTTACAACACGCTGTTTCTAAACCTAGTTTGAAGTTTAACAAATTTACAAAAACACCAATATTAGCACCGCTAAAGTACGGCTAGTACAAATATATCATCAGCGTTACCAACTTTTAAATACCTACTAACCACCGCAATAGAACGCCCTGCACCAGGCAAAATTAACGAGTGATGTTTTAATGGTACCAACCATCCACAACCAGATCCTCATAGAAATACCGACCAATTAGCGTAGTTTTGCAGTAGGGGGGGTACAGCAAAATCACTTTCGAACCAGCTACCTCAACCTTCTCCCCTCTGCTTCCTTTCAAAATGATCATGAACAACCCTGGCAGCTTATCGCCTCAGCAATGTCATGCGTCCAGGCAGCGACCCTTCAGGATGGCTTCAAGCAAATTAGGGTGGTGAAAAGTGAGCTGACTCCGTGTTCCGTATAGCCCTGCTCAACACCCGATGCGAATTCAGCGCCTGCATTGTGCATACGAGGCTTGCTCCAACGTAACGACAGCTTAAGAGTGCCCGCGGGTCATATCCTTCCAAGAGCAAGGCTTGTGACGGTCAAGGAGGCATACCACCATGTCACGCCAGTGAAGGGGGTGGTGAAGGACTGTGCGACTTAAGTACTGAAGCCCAAGCGCATTTATAATGCCCTTCTTCAGCGTTTTAGCCTGACCGAAGCGAGTGCGCCCTCTCTACCAGCTGTGCAGCCGTTTGCGCATCACCATCTTTCGAAACGGCTTGGGAGAAGTTATATTCTGGATTCCATGGGCAGTAATATCAAGGCCGTAGATTTTACGGGAGAGGAAGATGAATCCGCTCCGTTCACATTTACGATCCGCAGTGATACGAACGGCAAGCCGATCACTGGTAATGGCAGTGACGCCGGCGTGCCGATCGTGATCCACACTCTTTCATTTTATACCTGCACGGGACCTACTAGCTCACCCAAGCCGGAAATACCTAATTATCGTTATGAGAATTCTCGACATGGCTAGACACTTGGACTTGATGGCATTCTTTATTGTCTCGCAACAACAACAACAGCACTACACAGAGGTGCTTGCGCTTATGTGGAAGATGCATCAATCCGCTGTTGGTAAACCACTACGGGTGCATTACGGGATGGGCGATGCTGACGCAGCCCAATGGAACGCAGTCAGCGATGTGTGTGTACAAAGGAGAGATAATTCGTGTTTTTGATGTGCTACTTTCATGTAGCAAAGAAGAACTACGAGAACCTCGCTCGTTGGGTCCTGGTGCGGGCGCTTTCGTTTTGAGAGACATATATCAGCTTCATTTTGCAACGAACGAGGCGATCATCATATTAAGCTAGGAAAGGCTCAAGCGAGGTGGTCAAAAATGCCAGAGCTGGCCAAATGCTCTGCCTACTTTTCGAAAGATTGGCAGAACGGGAGGGTGTGGCGCAGGCAATGCTTTCATTCGTCGACTAGCTTTACGACTACTAGCAATCCGTGTGAGACGTACAAATCTGCGATCAAGAGAGATGTCACACTCCGCAGAAAGCTAATGATCGGCGCCCTCCTCACCCAGTCACTCACTCAGTGTCATAATGAGGCTGGCCGCTTGCCGTGTCTCCGGAGCGGATTTATTTGGTCGTCAAGCTCGTGCGATGTCGCGCGCGGGCTTGCTTAAGCTACACTTTCAGTCTCGGAGCAGTATCGCAATTTGCTAGCAACCATGACTGAGGAAGACCCTTTAAATATAGTCCGTATTGTGAGTAAGCCCTGCATGCGTGTACTGGACGAGATTCACCGTCGACATGTCGAGGTTTACTTATAGCAGCCCAACTGTAAAACTGACAGCTGCAATGGAGACGCTAGGTATGCCTCCCAAGGGGTGGCTCAATGCCTTGGACGGGTATGTGCCCTTATCCCTTTTCGATGAAGCAAAGCTCTTGTGTGCACACACTCTACGCCATGGAATACCGTTGAAATATGGATCTCAATGGACACCAGACACTTGTGAATCGAGGTCCTCCGATTGCAAAAAGGAACCGATCTCTCGCGGGCGCTCTCAGAATATTGGTGGAGCGCTTATGAAGGAGTAAGATCAGCGATGAAGGGAATGTTAAGCTTTCTTCTGAAGTCTCATTCTTGTATAAGTGCGCGTACTCGCCCATTGGGTAGTCGCTGCGGTGCGTGCGGAATGCATTGAAGGTGGCACCGGAAGTTGAGACAGGAAATGGGCGATCTCACTCTCGAAGTATCTCTGCCGCGCAATTTCGTCCTAGCACTCCGTCATTTTCCACTCCTTTCCTTCCATGGCGCATTACGTCGACAACGTCGACTCCCATGCTTTCCGTGAGCCATACCGTGCGCAAGAGGCAACTTTAGTAGCGTAGCGAAGCCAATCTGTCCTCAGTGCGAATATCTACATTGTCAGCCCCCCCCCCCCACCGGGGCAAATCCAAGTAGAAAAAATGATACACCATCATGTCCATATTAAGCACGTCGCCTAGGCGCTGCACTACTACGCACGATCTGGTTGTGTCGAGAATTGGATTGAGCGTGTCTTCTTCATTAATGAAATCAAAACATTCTGCACACTCAGGTGTCCTGAAGAAGACCCATTTCTTGAACGTGTGTATGAGGGTGGGAGGGGTATAGACATCACATGTCCATGGTCTGCGCGCATCGAGGAGACCCAATTACCGCTATGTGACGATAACTTACAGGGTACACGTAGACCTCATCGACTGGAAAGGCCAGCTCAGAGTAGTATCCGGAAAGCTTGGCTATGAGTTGGCTGCGTGGCTTCGCATCTTCTCCCATAGCCTCTTAACAGAAGCAGAGCTCAAATTGCTGCTCGGGGCTCTAACTGTGAAGTGAGCCTCCGCCGCGCTCGCGCGGCCAAGTCGATGTTTTTGGACTTTGAGAATGAAAGTTTGTGACGTACACTTCTTCATTTTGATTGGTCGGTAAGCCGAACCTAAGTGGGGATGTAACGGGGTACGTAGCCCTAAGTTTACCCCTATGTACGTGCAGTGTGACGTCATACTTCGGGATATTTGGTACAAGGTACCAAGGTCGTCCAAAGCCAACCATTGACTGATGATATTGCTTTTCTAAAGGTGACTTATAGCTCGTATTTACTCAAGCTTGGCCTACCTATAAATATACTCAGCTTACAAACTACCTTAAATTGGTCACCTCGCTCCCTTTCGGTAAAAGGGGACCTGTGAGCTGCCGTTCGATAAGAGTTTGTATACTCTCGGAGGCCAACTTCCTCTAGCGCAAGGTGTTGTGTGACCCCGTCACACGCCTGATCAAACGGTTGAATTGCTCCATGGGGTTGCTCGTGGGTTTATACCCAATAGGTGTGTGAATACGTTGCCACCGCTATAACTCACTATTTATCTAGACGTTATTGAAGTAGGTCCGAAGCTTCTCTTTGCATGACCACTTCTCCAGAACAATCTTCATTTGCTCATCAGGCACTTCCTTTAAAGATACGAAATGAAGGTCGGAAATGTCAGCGACCACCCGCTCGGACAAACTATCCGATATGTACCTAAGCTTCTCATGAACTATGGCCATCACGTGGTAGAAACAAATGAGATACACGTAGTCGGAATTCCCACAAAAAACTTTATTTTTCGCATTCGGTTGGCCAGTTTCAGCATCTGCCATAACGTACTTGGCCAGCTGCTGTCGCCCTGTCGAGGCGGTGAAAACTTTGCGAAGATTTGATAGCGCTATCGTGTACAGCTCCTTCAGTCGCTGACAACCGAAGAACAGAGCGAGTACGCGAAAGGACCGACATCTGTCAGAGACTTCACAGACGATGACAGAGTACGACACCTGGTTTAGCTTGAAGGTGGAGTACATGTGGAACACAAATGACCCCGGCTCATGGGTAGCACCGAGCAGCAGGCGCTTCGTGCTCAGTCCCGCCAAAACGTTCTTTTTTATCGGGGTCATTACAGAAGTCAGGCTTACCCTGAATGTCACGCTCCCAACCAAAGAAAAAAGGACGAGTGTCGGAAACCTCGGATCCATATGCCAGCTGGTCGATCTGGGCCACAATTTTGTCATTATAATCGTTTTGGCGAAGCGTCGTCTTCGTGAAATGAGTAATCAACCATCGCACTTGGTGCAGATTGGGAATCTTCGCCTTCGATAGCCTGTACCGTTTGGTCATACCCATGCGGATTCGAGCCGGCTTCAGGTCTTGCGACGTCATTTCATGACCATAGTCTTTCAGTCAAGGAGTCAGCTAGGGCTTGCTTGGTTTGCAGACTAGAGCCTCGCGAACACCAGACTCCGTGATCATCACTCTGTGGAGCTCTTGACTGGTAAGCACTTTGTCTACCCAGTGCCAATCATTTTAGGTGTCGCGCGCTTTGCATGTTTCCAAGGAACACCGTAGTAACTGGTATCTCATCCTATGCAGTCTAGTCAGCACGCATACGGAGCATGGAAAGAGCTGACTCTTGACAATGATTAACATCTTCATGTCTTCCAAAGGCAGCTGGGACTCTTCGCGAGCCATGTCGCTACAAATCGTCTTCCACACGTAGCTTGGGGCATCGTAGGTCGATATGAGAGTAGAAGACTTGAGAAAGGGGTGCGCAGGTGCTGCGTACATGTAGTTTCCAAAATGGATTGAGATCCATTGACACAAACTATTCTTTTCATTGGTAGAAACTCATCTTTGCTGACCAATGCGATTCGCTAGAATCGAATTGTATGAATTCACCAACATTTGGTGTGATCTGATCACACCAAATGTAGTACATACTGTGACACAGTGATCCTACCAACGCACGTGTACATTTAAACATTACCTCAAAGTAGTACTGTACATGTATGATGTGGCTTGATGTGTACGCTCATATTCTGTGCCGGGTTCTGTCTTAATAATCTTACTCCTTCGAGCTCGCAAATGATTATTGATAACCATTATGTAAAAGACCCTCGAGGATTTTTTTTCCTTTTAAGCTATCGCATGGTAAAAGGCTTCGTAAGCTACAGGCACATCGATCTTACTCACGTGGAGTCTTCGTCGTCAATGGTGAGCATATTCTCGGGGTCGTCGCAGTCATCACCAATTGGACAGTTGACGTCGTCGTCGGGCATGTGGTACAAACACTTGCTAATGAGGAACTCCTGACGGTACTTTTGCACGGCCACGTCTTCAGGAACGTCGTCGATGCAGACCTCGAGAAAGTATTTGAACAGGAACATGCCACCGATGAATATCGAGAACATCCACGCGCGAGTTGACGCTTCCAAATGATTAAAGAAATCGCCCGTGAAAATGACAACGGCGCCGTTCGTACACACCGAGATGGCAGCGAATGCCTGCAGTACCAGATACCAGTATCCCATGCTTCGCACATTACGCGGACGAGGACGGCGCGACTCAAAAATGAGACGGTAGGCGTCCAGGCGGATCTCAAAGTAATTGTTTACATACGAAAGCAGAGGTGCAAACGGGAAGGCAACGACAAACATTGTCGTGAAGCCGAACTGGAGAGCCATCTCGGTGTAGTCATCAAAGGTACCGTGCCAGTCATACTGCGCCATGAAGAGTTCGCGCTCGGCATCCGATTTCTTGTAGTCATCCAAATGTCCTAGTAGACGGTACTTACTGAAGTACACGAACAACCTCGGGATAGCCACTTCGGTGATATTCCCCACGAAAAGTCGAGAGCAAAACACAATAGCGAGCATGTACTCGAGCTCGTGCATGCAGCTAATGTCGCAGCCTTCAAAGCCCTCCTTCAAGAAGGCCACGTAGAATAAACCAGCATAGTTGTTGACAAACTGGAAGATCACAGTCTTGACGATGAGACTGTTCTCATATTCCATGTCGGTGCGGTGATTCTCCTGATCCACCAGCATGATGGACACGTAGTTGTAGATCTTTGTCATGATAGTGATCTGGACAACATTGGCCACTGAAGACACGATAGATCCGTACTTGTAGTCGTCTAGTACCAGCTTGTCCGAGTCATTGCCCTTCGTGAGGTCGTACGTCAGCATGAAAATCGACGAAACCAGCACGAACACAATCAAGATGAGGAACGAGATGACGACCCAGCTGTAAGCCACTCGCTTGAGCTTTTCACGCGGTGGGAAGTATCGTGTGGACTTGCCGTTCATGGGCGACGGGATGCGTTCACCGTAGAATTGTGGACGGAGGTTTACTGTCTCTGAGAAATGTGCTGTACCCCAGCGTAACGTCTCGCGTGAGTTGAGTCGCTTCCAGTTCTCGAGGTAAATGGTCATCCAGATGGTCATAAAGGCACCAAAGAGAGGCGAGACGTAGGCGAACACAGTGTTATAGTTGTCGTGAGGGATGGAATAGCTCACAATGCCCGTGACAATACCCACGAGTGTCGGGTACAGCAGCCACTTAGTGTAGTGCCCCAGATACAGAAAGTAGAGCGCCACTTTAACGCCAAAGTATTGGCAGATGCGGTCGAACGGCTGGTTCATAGGAGACATGTTCCATACAATCCAGTGCTCCTTGAGATCCATCTTCTCCTCTTCCTCGTGCAACGGATAAGTCTCCACAATGATCTCTTCGTAGACCAGACGATCGATATCTTGGCCAGCACCTGTCTGGTGGTTGGTGATGATGTGCTCGATGAGTCCGATGCGGTCGGTACTGGAGAAGAGCGAGCCATTTGGTCCCTTCCTGGCGTAAAAGTGCTGCAGGTCTCGCGCTTGGAAGTAAGGCGCGAAGATGTAGTCGAACGGCGAGTAGCGGTACGTTTGCTTCACGTCACGGATCGGGAAAGGCGCGATGCCGTACTCTGGGATACCGTTGAACGAGGCGCGACGTAGCTCCGTCGGATCCAGCTGCAAGTGCATCTTGAGCACCTCAGCCTCACGCCGCATGAGCTCCTCGGGTGCTCGGATCTTGCAGAAAACGAGCTCCTTGCCCACAGAGTAAAACAGTCGCAGTCGCAGTCCGGCGCCGCGTAGTCGCTTGATGATGGTGTCGCGCTCATCGCTCGCCTCGATCACATGCTTTGGCGGATTGGGGAACACGATCACATAGTCCCAGCGGCCGTTCGGCTCCACTGAGGATGTGCCGTAGTCCAGCGGCACCCGCAAGCGCAGCTCGGCCGTCTGCGGCTGAGGATAAGGGTCGCTCATGGGGGTCAACTCGTATTTGATTTTATGCTCATCGAAATTGATTTTGAGCTGATCCTGATTTACGAAATAAAACCCAAGCTGTGGAGCTAGAAAGCTCAAATATTTTAATACTTGATTCACAGTCAAGTGGCTTCAAAAATCAATGCATTTCACTACAGTACCGGTATGCAGCGACAGACCATCGAGCTCTGGGCCAGAGTCTGGCGTGTTGCGAATACCGGTACTGCACACGTCGTTCACCGCAACTATAATACTGTATTGTATTTTATTCTTCGAAGCAAAGCGAGCACACAGGCCGCCGGCACAAGCATAGAGCTCATTTATAAAAGCACGACAGGATCGCAGGTGGCTACACTGAAGTGCAACGGCCAGACTCCGCCGCGGAAATACGTGCGTCGGCGGCAATAGAGCAAGGCTGCTCCGTAAGAATAGCGAGTATGGTTAGATTCTCCTGCGCGAAGCGATTTTGTGCCTGTAGATTCTCGTCACCATACTCAGGGAGTTCCTCGCGCCACGCATACCCCACGTTCCCAGGTAACTGCGAAGTCGCTATCGCGGTAACGACTCGCTTCAGTAGAAGCAACACTACGTTAACTTAAAGATGCTGCTTGGGTGGTGGCTGAAAGCCGAATCGATACGCAGTTACGCCCCGTGTCAACGGAGACCAGCGGCTGCTGTCACGTTGGCCAGCCAATTGTCATCGAACGCTGCTTCGAATCTGACTCGTCACTCATGGAGATGGCCTTTTCTCTGTCCAGCATCGACCTATCGTATATCAGATGTTATATATTGTTTTATAAAGGTTTGTATAAAAGTGTTAAAAGCGTCATTGCATATTTAAGGCTGCAAGAAAACATAATTTTGAGCCTTTTCATGAACGCAGTGTATTTATTGTGCACAGGTAAACTTATCTTGAAAAGCCATATGCTTGGAGGGGGTCATCAAAGTTCAGATTCGGAGTGCAGAATCTTGTATGGCTGCGATGCGTCCTGGATGGCTCGCAGCATTTGCGATTTGGCTTGACGGTGGACAGATTCTACAAAAGCTGGACGCCGCTGTCATTGCGCGATCAAGGAGCAGGTGCAGCAACACCGCAGACAGCATGAGCTCCTCCTTCGCCAGCCTCGTCAAGCAGCGCACGCAGCGCGTCGGCACATTCATCGGCAGCGACACGAGCACGTTCATCTCGAACGTTTCTTCCCAGAGAGCTACGATACTAGCCTCGCCTTCGCTCTCGTCGGGCGCCGAAACGCTCGAAGATTGGATGTACTGGCAGCGCGACGCCAACAACGCGCACTGCTGGACGAAGGTGTACGGAGTTCTTGACAACGAGTTCTTGTGGCTGTTTAAGGGCAACCACTCGAGCCGGACCATGTTCTTACAGATTGCAGTTTCCAGCGTCGAGGTATCGGGACAGCGCCAGCTGCGGCTCGTGGACCCGAACGGCGAGGACATGGAAATCTGGCTGATGGACGAGGATAGCTTCGTCGTGTGGCGCCAGCGGCTCGAGGACGCCGCTGCGCTCACCACTCAGTTCTTCCGTATGACAGAGCTCGAGGCACATCGACTTCCGCGTAACAGCGCCTACCGCGGTAGTCTGGTCACCTATCGCCGCAACAGCAAGCGTACACGCTACAAGGCCGCTATCGAGTGGGTGGCGATGCGCTGGAAGCAGAAATTTGCGCGGTGATCCGACGAGTTGAGCAATGATATGACGACCGTGGTCTGGTCTACAGTAGTTGATCCGTCTGCCGCAGCTGCGGTGCTGGCCGACCTATCAAGCCTTGGTGTTTCGCATACCCGACTGGCCGGGTAAGTGCCGAGGCGCCCAACGCTGGCAGGAAAGACTTACGGGGTCAAGTTCGTTCCTTGACGACGTCCTCCATAATTATGGTGGGGTGTACCAGTAGCCACCTCCTACCTAACTTATTTAATCTCATGCGTTCCGGTACATTCAGAAGTATTATGTAAAATAGTGTGTTTCATGCCGACAGGCACCCCCGGCCACCGACCAGTGGTCGGCGACCACCAAGAAAATTTGGAGTTGCTCGGACGAGGTTGTGGTCCACAACTTGTGGAGAGGATTTGCCGTTTACGGCCTACAGTGCATGAGGACAAATTTACTTCAAGTAAAATACTGTGCTACCGTCGTCATGAAGACATCAGTTGGCGCTTGCCAGCAAATTTCCGCAGCTCTCCACGCTGGGATCCACAGTGGATCCATTTTCCAGGAGAGCGTGGGTTTGTTGTTGCATGGTGATCGTCTGTATAGAGACGAAAGCGCGCAACGGTTTCCCTCTGGTACATGTAACTCAAAAATCGACAACGCCCGTCTTCGCTCGCGCATGTCTCGCCCCCTCCGCAATCCCAGATCACTCCGCAATTTGCGCCGCCCAAATCCAGATCGGGTATTTATTGTAGGTTAGAAAGCGAGTCATGCGGCGACTGTCGTTGACGGCGATGCCGTCGCGCCGGCAGAAGCAGCAACAGCGTGCGAGTCTCAGCTCAGCGTATGGCAAGTCCACGAGGAGTCTGCGCTCTACGATCGGCAACTTCAGCATGCTCTCCTCATCCGCCGCAACATCGGCATCCTCGGAGTCGCTTAACTCGCTGTCGACCGCTTCCAGCTCGTTCTACGGCCCCATGGAAGACTACGACGACGTCGACGAAGAGGTCGAAGAACAGGAGTGTTGCGAACAAGGATGGATGTATTGGAAACAGCGCAACGACTGCTGGCTCAAGATGTACGCTCGTCTGCGCAATGAGTTATTGTGGCTCTCTAAGGGCGCGGACGACGTGGTGGCCGTCGTCCAGATTGCAGTCGCTGGAGTGCGTACCACCGACATTGGCGGCATCATCGCTCGCGGCCCTGCTGGTGAGAGCATGGAGCTCTTTGCTTACGAGCGGGAACGGACTGGGGACTGGATAGACGCGCTCTACGTCGCAGCTCAGCTTACTCAATCCTACGAGCGCTCGGTGGCGGCCGAACCAGCCGAGACCGAGGTTCCACAAAAGGAGAAAAAGGAAGTGGAGCAGGTGTATACAGGGACGCTGGTGGTCTACAACAAGGAGCAGAAGAAATCCCCTTGGAAGCAGCTCCTATCTACCAAGCGACTGCGCGCGGCGTGTCGCCGACGACTCGAGAAATTCGTGGACCGCTTGGACACTTCCAACTTGGAATCCAAGCGGTAGATAAAACGTTCCGGGCCTGGTAATTGCAGCCCCGAGAATTACAGTGGAAAGCACCAAGAGGGTGGCGCATGTAGCGTGCTCGACAGCTCGCACCCTATTTATCAAAGTATATTGCGCACTTGTAACAGCTCCGTTTTGTTGTCGTCAAGTGAACTCGCCCAGACTAAGGTTTCACTTGCTTTCATTACTTACCTCCTGCCGGACTTGGGTTCAGACAGAGGTGTCACTGATAAGAGCGTGTACTATAGTATTTACCGCCAAGTTGAGGCAACTTCGGAAGCGATGACAAGTTTTTGTTAAAGCACCAAGATTAGGCAGGATGACGGCACAGTTTTTCGGGCGAACGTCCCCGAATTTCGATTTCGGGTCGAAATCCAAGAGTTGGGCGTCATCTTGTTGATGCAAAATCCCGTGGGCCTGGCAAATTGCCAGTGGCAATGAAAAGCGAGGCTTTCCACCAAATCCAAGCAAAAAGCAAAAGAGCTGCATGTGACGGGTCACTGATCCGCAAAGGATTCTCACCATGTACAGTACGGCGTTTCGGTTTTTAACACGGCGTTATCCGGGCGTAAAACTCGTTCGTCCACTTGTGCATGTGTTGTTATTAATACTCCGAGCTTCTTGGAGCTGCATCAGATCAAGAGGGTTACTGTACTGAATATTAAGTCGAGGTGGTGAGCGCCACCTTCGATGATATGCACGGCAACCACCGTCCGAATAGTTCTGCAACACGCCTGTGGCTGAGCACGAATCGTACATGTAGTTTTCGTTGCTGAAGACGTTGTTGCTTGCAACCGACCACCGTAATGAGCTGTCGGCCACATGATGCGAGCATCAATGTCCCACTCTGCGTGGCAACTCGCATTGTCCGTTGTGAAGTTCAATGGTGCGCTCCAGAACATGTCCGTAATTGTTGGGCCGTACAGCTCCGCACAGTAGATGTGGTTCCAGAAATTGCTGTCCATCGTGTCCTCATTTGACGGTGCGTTCAGCTGGAGACACTCCTTGTTGTGGGTGCTGTCGTAGTATACTCCGATCGTCTTTGAAAACGCTCGTAGCAGCTCCAATTCGCCCTCTTCAGTCTCGTCGAAAGTGTCGCGCAGATGAGAGCAGGCCACACGCATGGGGAAAGTAGACAGTTCGCTAACTCCTGACATCCACTATGTAGGACGATGGATACGGGTAGTTGCCCATAGCCATAGAATAGAAGGCGTCTCTCGTCCACCCCCATCAGCATATCAATGTCTTCTACAGTTCCCAGTGGGGTTTCGTCACAAGAGAAAACGCTCGTTTCAGTTTACTACGACCGTCTTCAGTTTCACCCAGAGATTTCATGGCCGTCCACGCTTGACGGATCTTTGGCACGCAGTTTTCCGCTGACCCGGCGGCAGTGAATGTTGCCACTTGCGCATATCCTCCAAGGTCATGAGGAACTCCGTCGCCAAAATACGACAAGATTGGGGCGGAGGCTTCAATGATCCCGTCGATGGATGTGAGGGTATTTCATGCGGAGCCAAGATCCCAACGAGCCACCGAAATCTGACATTATCAGATAGACGTCGTCAAGACACTTTTATCAGACTGATATTATCGACTCTACCACAGTCAAAAGTCGAGAAGCTGATCAGTAGTTTCATGCTGGTTGCAATTGAGCTAATAGTATTGACAAATGCTGCATATTCATACGCTAGAACCACTGAGTCTTTCTCTCCTCCAAGCTGCTCCCTTGTATAAAATGTTGCCATCTCATTCACTGGCGACGGCAGCTTTACGCTCGTAAAACTCTCGAGCCCACTTGTGCATGTGCTGTTTTTCCGCCTCGCGCACGGCCAGAACCGACGCAGTGTCGAGTTCGTTGCTAAACATGAGATCAAGGTGGTGGGCGCCTCCTTCAACCGATAAAGCAACAACAGAGTCCGAGTAGTTCTGTAGCACTCCCGTACCCGACCACGGATCGTAATTGCCGTTGCTGAAGACGATGTTGCTCGCCGCCTTTAGAGCCTTGCGACCACCATACTGCGTCGTGGCCCACAACGGACGAATCTCGACCCCCCACTCGCGTTTGCAATTCTCATTATCAGCAGTAAAGTTCCACGGAATAGACCAGAACATATCGTTCACACCGTCAACGTTCTGAGGCTGATAAATCTCGGCACAAAAGATGTAGTCCCAGAAGTCCGAGTCCAGAGCAGACTCATTGGAAGCAGCATTAAGCTCGTAGCACTCTTGGTGTTTTGTGCTATTATAGTACACACCCAGTGATTTGGCAAACGCGGACAGGAGAGCCACCTCATCATCTGGAGCGAACTCGTCAGCAACAAAGGAACATGCCACGCGGACTGGGTATGCGGGTAGAACACTAACGCCATTCATGATGTACGACGACGGGTACGGGTAGTTCCCCATGGCCATGTAGTCAAATGCCGACTTGGCCCAGTCCATGACCTCATCCACATCCTTTCGGGACTCCAGCTTCACGGAATCACAAAGTGAAAGCGCCCTTTTCAGCTGCTTTCGACCGTCTTCAGTGTCTCCTAGTTTCTTCATTGCTGGCCACGTGCGGCGGATGTTTGGTACACAGTTTGGAGCAGAGCCCGCTTCCTCGGACGCATCAAAAGTCACAATGCGTTCGAACGAGCCCTTGTCTAGAGGAACTTCGTCCCCGAGGAATGAAAGGATTGGAGCCGACCCCGCAATAACCCCGTCAATGATGTGGGGGTATTTCATGCGGAGCCAAGATCCCAACATACCGCCGTACGAGCCACCGAAACCAATGACAGGGATATCAAGCTTCCATTCAGTCTTCAAGTAAGTGATCAACACCGCAAAGTCTGCCAGTGCCTGCTCCGTCGACAGATATTTCATGTGCTTCGTCACGTCCTTCCCGAACGGTACCGACTTGCCAAAGTATCGGTGCTCCGCGAACACGAGCATAGCACCGAACTCGTCGGCGTTCTCCCACATGAGACCCGTGTGGTTTAGGTACAACTCGACATCCGCCTCATTGCCGACGTAGAAGAACATGACGCCTCCGGGTCGGAATTGCTTGTCACAGACGAAGTATCGTTGCTGGTAGGTGGGCGCTCCGACGTCGAAGTGGTCGAGTGTCTGCGTCAAGAACTTCTCATCGCATTGTGCTAGCAGGTTCGTCGGTACGACGTCCATGTTTAGGGTCGGTAAATGGTGCTGATCAAAGGTGGTAGTGACGGGAGCAGTTGATTCATCTCCCTTCCAGTTGAATACCGTCGCGAGAAGAAGCACAGGCGTCACCACCAGCCCGACAATTGCCAGTAGCAAGTGGCGACGACGCCGTAGCGAGTCCTCACGATGGACAGTCGCTGTCTTGAGCAGCATGGGCGTCTTCTCTTGAGCCATGGAACTTCCAGCAGCTTGTTTGATGAGTGTTGAAATCAGATCTAAAAAGAGTTGCAGCACAAATTCTAACGCTTTAACACTTTCGTTTTAGCGCTTTTACAGCTTTGCTGTTTGTGAATGTCGCCCCAAGGTCTTCCCAGACCCTCCCCCTTTTTAGGCCGCGTGGCTTGCTCGATATCCGAAAAGCTTCGAGGCAGGAAGAGCATCCGATCGCCTCCAGGCCATGAACAACCCTCCGTACCAGCCGTACGGCGGACCGCCGCACCAGAATATGCAGCATCATCCGCCGCAGCAAAATATGCAGCAACAACAACCGCCGCAATCGCAACCTCCGCGTGCTGGTGCCTTTCGGCCCTTCAACCCTGCTCAGGTGAATGCTCCGCTTTCGGGCAGTGGCGGCCCTGCCTTCGCACATAGCGCCAGTAGCGGCCCGCCCTCCACGGGAAGCCTCAATGCACCACCTCACCAGCAGCATATGGGCAATGCCCCGCGCGGCTTCGTGCCGCAGAACCGCAGCTTCTCGTCGGGTCCTGCCAGCCAGCCTACAGGCCCACCTCCGCAGCAATTCGGCAGCCAGCCAGCTCCTATGAGCGGCCCGGGTTATGGCCCACCTCGAGCAGGTCTGCCCAACGTCCAACAACAGCAAATGATGCGTGGCCCGCCGCCGGCAGGTGCAGCGCCTCCTATGGGTCAGGCTATGCGTGGCCCGCCACCTCCGGGAGCTGGAGCTATGAATCAGGGACCCCCGAATGCTCAAAATGGATTCACGCAGCAATTCGCCAACATGGGACTTAGCAACGGACCGCCCGGTCCGGCCGCGGCCGGGCCGCCTAGAGGCCCCCCAATGGGAGGAGCTCCACCCCCACCTATGGCCGGCAGTATGGCACCTCCTGGTGCCCCGGCCGCTATGAATCAGCAGCAACAGCCCAAGGCCTACAACAACAATCTCCCGAGCGGCAACTTCCAGCAGCCAGACACGATGAACGGTGCGCCGTCTGAATGTAGCCGCCGATCTTGACGTATAAATTCACATTTTTTGTTACAATTTTGCAGATGGATATGGTGGCCAACCGGGTTTCCAGAACCAGCAGGCGCAGCAGCCTTCACCGTTGACTGAGGAGATGATGGCGTCCCAGTGTGACCCAAGATACATGCGCCTGACGGTGAATGCACTACCGCACTCGCTCGACCACGCCAACAAGTCGAAGCTTACGTACGGACTGATTATTCGCCCGTTGGCGCCGCCTGACGAGGGAGACGAACTGGATGTAGTGAATTTTGGTCCTACTGGAGTCGTGCGTTGCCGTCACTGCCGGACATACATGAACCCATTCGTGCAGTGGGTGGATAATGGCCGTCGCTGGCGATGCAATCTCTGTGGTGTATCCAACGACGTCGCAAGTTCGTATTTTTGCCATTTGGGAGCCAATCAGCTGCGTCAGGACCGTGATGAACGCCCCGAACTTAACTCTGGCAGCGTGGAGATTATTGCGCCTTCCGAGTACATGATGCGTCCTCCTCAGCCGCCCTGCTACGTGTTTGTCATTGATGTCTCGGCCACTGCTGTGGCGTCGGGTTCCGTTCAGATCGCGGTGGATACTATCAGGGAACAGCTCGATAATCTGCTTGGCGCTCCACGCACACGTGTGGGGTTCCTCACGTACGACAGCTCGATCCACTTCTACAACCTGAAGGTTCGTGCTGCCTACAGTGCGTTTGTGCTCGATATATAAGTCTGATCGCTTGTTTTTTGCTTGAATTCTGTGTCTACAGTCGACGCTCAAGGCCCCGCAGATGATGGTGGTAGCGGATCTGGACGAACTCTTTATCCCTATCCCGGATGAGCTGCTTGTGAACTTGAGCGACTCGCGTGAGATCGTCGAAATGCTGTTGGAAACGCTGCCCAGTATTCACCAGAACGCTCGCTCCGCTGAAACTGCGCTTGGACCTGCGATCCGCGTCGCTTTTAAGCTCATGGTACGTGTTCGTTTTTGTTTCATTGGTTCTTTGTGTTGTACTGACAGTAGATATGCCTGCTGCAGTCGTCTATCGGTGGTAAAATGCTCGTTTTCCAGAATTCGCTGCCATCAACTGGAAACGGAGCACTGCGAAACCGCGACAACCCGCGACTTTACGGAACGGACAAGGAACACACTTTACTGCAAGCTGTCGACACGTACGTTACTTGGTCTTGGACGCGCAATTATTGGTCATAACTGACGTGTTTTTTTCGGCCTTTTGCAGCTTCTACCGTACCAACGCCATTGATTTCTGTCGCCAACAAGTCAGCGTCGACATGTTTCTGTTTTCTTCCATGTACACTGATATCGCCTCCTTGGGTACGTTACCACTTGCTAGTGTTCAATGGAGTAATTCGTTAACGTGTCAACTAATGTGATAATCTGTGGGTACTCAGGCTCACTGTCGAAATACTCGGCAGGTCAAGTATACTATTACCCAGCGTTCAATGCGGAGCGAGATGGCGAGAAGTTCAGCAACGAGTTGGCGCACTGTCTTGCTCGCGAGACTGCGTGGGAGGCTGTGATGCGTGTGCGCTGCACCAAGGGCATGCGTCTTGCGAACTTCTACGGCAACTTCTTCTTGCGTGGACCTGATCTACTGGCACTGCCGACGTGCAACGCAGATTCGACCTTCGCGGTGGAGATTACGCACAGCGACGCGTTGCTGACGTCCTCGACGATATCCGTGCAGGCTGGTCTGCTGTACACGAACTCGATCGGCGAGCGACGTATCCGCGTGCACACAATTTGCATCCCTGTTACCAAGCGTACGTCTATAATGAGCTTAAGTTGTGAGTTTGATGACGTATCGACACTAATGTCATTGTTATTATTGCTGTAGTGTTCGCGGAGCTCTTCCGCCAGGTGGACCAGGACGCTCTATGCAACATCATGGCCAAAAACGCACTGGAAATTGCTCTTAAGACGGGACTGGACAGTGGGCGTTCGCGTCTGCAGACACAGTGTGCAGACATTGTACGCGCCTACCGCAACTCTGGTGCATACGGAGCAAAGCAAGCGTCTGGATATCAGTTGCACCTTCCTGAGTCTCTGCAGCTTCTGCCTCTGTACATCGTACGTCTTTTTTTGGTGTGGGGACCCATTTTTCGGTTGAGATGAGACTGACCTCCATGATGTTTACAGATGTCGCTATTGAAAAACTCGACTTTACGTGGCGGCACCGACATAAACGTGGACGAACGGACATTCCTGCAGTATGAGGTACGGCTGTCTTTTAACACGTGTGCAACGACGCAAATCAGGACGCTGACGTAGCATTGCGTATTATTTTTTACAGCTGAACAACATGCCTGTCGAGCTATCACGGGTGTTTATTTACCCTCGGATGTTCGCTCTACACAACATGCCGCCCGAGGCAGGTTTACCTGCAGAAGATCAAGCCGAGGGTGCTGACGATAACAGCGCCACCTCCATCGTGTTGCCGCCTGTGATCAATCTGTCGATCGAGCGACTGCAGTGCGACGGAGTGTTCCTGCTGGACGACACGTTGAGTCTGTACCTGTGGGTGGGTCGTTCGGCTCCTCCTGAGCTTCTTGAGAGTCTTCTTGGCGTTCCGTCCATGGAGGGCGTGGACTGTAGCCAGGTGCGTAGCTCTTTAGCTACGGATAGTCCGGTAGTCGATTTATTAACTGATCTTTTGTGTGGTGTTGTGCTCAGATAAAACTTTTGGCGCCGCACGACGACACAAGCAACCGCGTAGACGCCATCTTGGCAGCGATCCGTGCAGAAAGATTGCCACATCAGAACGTGGTGATCATGCGGGAGGGCGACCCGGCCGAGGGACGTTTCTTCTGGAAACTTGTAGAAGACCGGGCCAGTTTCTCCGGTGGATCGTACTCGTACTCGGAGTACTTGGGTCAGATCAGTCGCATGAGCCTCTCGGGCGGCAGTGGTGGAAGATAGATTGCAAACAGTTTGAAGAAGAAAAAAACTCGTCGCGGATCGGACGGGCAGTGCTAACGAGGACGAATACGAATGGATGAGTACACCCCCTTTTAGATACAGCATGTACACATTCTTTCCAAGGCTAGAAACTGGTTCTCTTTGCGTATTTAACGCTTTCGATCGCTTGGATACCAGACAGTGTGCAGTTTATCCTTGTGGAGACGTATGGTCAAGCCATGTGATGTTATGCTTGCCGTGGCAGCATGTGTCCAGTATATTTGCCCTGATACTTGAAGCTGTAATGCTCCACAGGTACCTCCTCAATGCTCCAGCTTGTACGTGAACACTTTCTGATTGAGCGGATGTATCTTGTCCATGTGAAAAGCTAGCAAGCAGCACATTGAGGAGGACGCCACAGCGGCAAGCCACACGACGCCTCACTTGACGATTTCCAGTGTATCAGCGCTACTTAGTATTACGAGTATTAATACACCCACCCACCTTACTTACTAGCTGTCTTGTCGACAAGTTGTATCACTGCAACTCAGTTGCGCGCTGGGTTCTTGGTGCAAAAACTTGCTTGCCGAAAAGCTCCGGTCCAAGTTGCAACTTGCAACACGAAACTTGACATCTGGCCATAGAAATCTCGACCAACGTGGTACACTGAACCGTCCCTTATTACACATGGTGAGCGCCGTCCGGAGTGCTCCATGGCTGGATCGTGGTGTTGGGGCAGAGAAGTCGAATCATTTGGTGAAAACCGAAACGCGGCGCAACTTGGTTCCTCGCTTTCGAGGAGTTGGGAGTTCGTAATGGAGTGCCCGCCTACCAAATACTCAATGTTCTCACAGCAGTTCTTTGTGGCCGGGTCCAGGGAGAGTCTGGGATTGCGTCGAGCACGCGCGACTTTCATGGACCCGCGTACGCCTCGTATCTCGGACGAGCTGTACCCACGCGGTGAGACTTTTTGTTGCGCCAAAGCGGCGGCGTCTCCACGCGATATTCGCCAGTCTCGCGACTCCTTTCTGAGCTCAGTATCAACAGCGTCATCTTCGAGGATCTCGTCGCCACTACCGCAGGATATTCGAATTCAGGGTTGGATGTACTGGGCCCGTCGCGAAGACAGCACCGCCCAAGAAGCGGAGCGGTACACGAAGGTTTACGCCGTACTACGCAACGAGTTCCTCTTGCTCTACCGTAACGACCAACGTCCGTCCAAGAAGGTGAGACCGCTGCCATTAGTGCAAATCGCTGTGGCTAGCTCATGGCGCGGCGTGGACGGCGTCCTGCACGTCGAGGACCCGTACGGTGAGGAGATGGAGCTACATCTGTACGAGCGTCAAGACTTTGAGATGTCTCGACGATGGGGTGACGCTCTGGAACAGGCGTCGGAGCTCACCCACGCACACTTTTCCAACTTCGACGTTAAGGTCGAAGACTTGTCCCGTGGTAGCGTCTATCGCGGCACACTCCATGACTTCCGCATGACACGTGAAAGTTCCATCCGGAAATCTGTGACACAAATCACCAAGTTCACAAGCTGGAACTCGTTGCGGAAATTTATCCCAAATCGGATCTCAAGTCGCATGAAATACTCCCGATCTTCTTCACCGAATTGAGGAAAGTACTCGTATTTATCAACTAGGTAGCCTCCAACATTCCGTCGGCAGAGTGGATCGGTGACTTGTAAAATAAACTAATTTTACATGACAATACACTCACTTTTTCGTGGCTTCTCTATCCTCTTTGGTACGGTTAGACCTTCACTGTCTTCAGGATTGCCGACCATGGCTGGATACGTCGTTAATCTACTCATTGTGGCAGTCGCTAAAGAGCCATCAGCACGTACACTGCGCGGACTAATGTCCAGGTTGAGAGCTTGAGCTCGATACTCTTTAGATGACAGCGACCGAGCCACGGATTCTGGTTTCTCGAATGGCTTTTCAGAGTCATCCTGTGCAGCTTCTACGACCTTTGAAACAGTATCCTTTTCCACTTCCGCTCGAGACCTTCTTTTGTTTGTTGTTCTTGGGCGTTCCCTACTAGATTTGACAATGCGAGCAGTAGTTTCCTCACTAACGTTAACAGGTAAATCGATCGTCTGAATGCGTTCTGGTAATGTCAGAATTGGAGTTGCGGTCGTCTCTTTGAAAAATTGCTCCTCAAGCTTGACCTTCAACAGTTTATTCATCCGTTCGAGACTTTCCAGAGCACAACGCAGATCTGTGTTTTGCGTTCTCTCAAACTCGAGATATTGCTGCAATGTGATGACTTCTTGTGTTTTATTCTCGAGTTCGAGAGTGTTTTCGGCCAGAGTTTTCTCTTGGACAGCTAGTTGCTCTCGATACTGTTGCAAAGTAGTGTCTGAGTTTTCGTCCTCCATCATTTGTCCCTTTCGACGACGCATTGACTTCTTCTTGTTCAGTAGCGTATTACGGCCATTTGCATCAGCATTGTAGAACTGAATCGAGCCATCACCGTAGGACAGATCAGCGGACGACGTCGTAGTTTTAAGGTCAACAGCATGAGACGCCACTTTGTTTAGGTTACTGCTTGGTACAATCCCAAAGATATAAAATTCCAGAGGTGAGTTTTGGAGAAATTCTACCAACTCGGGCGTAACAATTTGCTCGATCACGACGTTAAAATCGAGTTTAGGATTCACAGACGGCGAAGATATTGGCTCCGACTTGTGTTCCGCTGCATCTTCGTGCTCCTGAGTATTCCCACTCCATTTGAAACTTACGTATGCGTTTTTACATAATTTACCAGGAATTCCTCGAAGTGATTCGACAAAAATATTGATCCGCATGTTTGATCCAATGAAGTTCGTAAGCGTGGGGAGAACAAGTGCCTCTATATCCTCCGGACACGTCTCCACTAGTCGGTGCTGACAAGCCTGCCACTCATGCGAGAGAATAGTTGGAGTGATCTCGCACTTCAGACTACCATTCGTCCCACCCGTATGATTGAAAATCGAAGTTGTCTCGTTGATCTTGCAGCCAAAATTAAGATTCCTGAGAAATACAAAGCTTTTGCCAATCAATTGAGGCTTTGGGGGGTCGTAAAAGGGATCGCAATCGTCGCCATACGTACACTTCCATGTATCCACATACGCTGGCAATCGGTTGTGCTCAATGAAAGTCTGGTACATTTCACGCATCACGTAAACATTGGCATGGAATTGTTCAATGTCCCACATGACGCTTCGAAATGTGCCAGATTCCTGGAAATTCACCTCCACTTTCAACTCGGCTCCGATCCCGTTACTGATGGTCAGTTCTTCGTCTTCGAGGATCTCAGAAGTTCTTGAGAGAGCGGTCAGTGTGGGACCACAAGTGATGAGACGTAGGGTGAACAGCGTCTGCTTTCGAAGCTCATCGGCTATGGAGTTGGCTTCATTCACCAATGGAATAGACTGCAGTAACTGATCATCGAACTTCAATCTCTCCACTCGTTCCCTCTCTTTCTGGGACCCCAGCACTTTGGCTTCTCGCATCTGCTTTTGTAGTGACATTTCGAGTTCTTTTTGTCGTTCGACCAGTTCTTGCTGCTTTTTCTCGAATAGAATCTCAGCTTTGACCAGCTCTTCGGCCAGTTTCGACTCTTGCTGCGCTAGTTTCTCCGCGAGTTTTTTCTTGTCGTTGTCGCCTTCAGTTTGCATCTGCGTCTTGATTTCCAGCTCCTTCACTTTCATCTGTTCGTTCAGTGCTCGAACGTGTTGCTCCCATTCGTCTCGCTGCTTTCCAAGCTTTTCTTCGGCGCGTTTCTGCTCTACTTGCATCATTTCCTTCATTTTTTTCATTCGAACGTCCATTTCTTGCTTCTCCTTTTCAGCGATCACTTCAGCTTCGATCGCTGCTTTGAGCTGCTTGCTGTTAAGTTCTTTCATCGCGCATTGCCAATCAAATCTTGACTCGTGCGCTAGCTCATCCGTAGTCGGGTGTTCAGACCGTGCAGAGGGTATCACAACCCGAAAGACATTCGAGTTGCCCAATACCAAGCGATCACAGTGATGCAACTCTCGTTCCTCGTTTTCTTCAAGTGGCTCTGCATTCACAAACACCTTCGCTCCATGACAGGCGGTGATGAACAGAGCGGACAGTTCTCTCTTTTCCTCTTCAAGGTCTTCGTCAATTGTCTGTGATTGCTCCCGTCGGATGATAAAGCAATGTTCTTTTAGGATACCTAGTCCACCAACGACGATATTTTGTTCTTCATCGGCATCGATACGACCAATTCTATTGACACCAAGGTTGATAAAGTACACGAGCTTTTCAGACATTTGCTGGTCTTCATTCAGGTTGAGCAAGTGAGGATTCGTCACGGTCTTTTCCTTCAGCTCGTTCGCATTACTGACAAGTCCAAGGACCTTGAGCTGCTCTTCGCGTTTTCTAGCCAGTTCTTCAGTCTCTTTAAGTCGCTCATTCCACGATTTCTATCAAAACATGAGGAAATAAGTACAAGAGAGTAGAAAATTCAGAGAAACTTACCTCGCTTTCTTGGAGTAAGCGCTGGTTCTCTTCAAGTTGTTCTCGAATCGCAGCCAACTCGTGCTCACGAGCTGTATTTATCTGTGGCGATCTGGAGCTATGAAACTCACCACTAAGTTCACCTTCACCACCCACACCTCTTGATGGTGGCCGAGCGTCCATGTTTTCCATCATAGATTTCCGAAGCATTTCGAGCTCTTCCTTCAGCTGTCGGATGAGAATCTGGTTGGGATCTTCGTTTACGATGGCTTTGTTCTTGATCTGCTTCGCTCGATCCGCATAACGCAGAGTACCCAGCGTTTCCTTCCGAAAAAAAAGTTGCTAGACATAATTTTTAATAAAAACTAGAGCATGCTCACTCTTACCGAATAATTAACACTAGCCGGACTTAACGCAGCGATCATGATCGTTTTCGAGTTGCCACCAAGCGAATCCTTCAGTAAATGAGTCTATGATTCCAACGTTATAGAAAGTTTAAAACCAAATGAAAATAGCAGAAAAGACTTACGAGCTTTGAATTTCGGTACGGGACCAGCCCTTTCTTGCCATTTGCCAAGTCTGCTAAAGCGGAAATGCAATTTCCTAACGCTGATAACGACTTCAGCACCGTGTTAGCTCGCTTGATGCAGTATTAAAACCAATACAATATGTGTGTTGTACCTGGTTAATAGCAGCGCCTTCTTTTAATCGAGACCCTGTCGCCCCCGTGCTAGCAGCTCGTTCGCTTCCTGCCAGATCGATGAGATTGATCCGACTCACTTTGTCCATAACTTTGCCCGTGGATGGATTCAGCTCGGACTGCGTAACAATTATTTGAAAAATCGTATGTGCTCTCGAGCTTGTGGCGTTCATGTTGGTAGAGGCAGTTGTCCGCGCAAGAATACCAGCATTCATCAGCTGTATAATAAAAAAAAATCTTTTAGCTAATAAAGTGGACTTTTTTTAGACGAATTGACGCACCCTGTCGATTTCTAAGTAAGAGGACACAGCGCTACGAGTAAGACCCTCAGCGTACGGTCCTTGGCTTGGGTGATCTCGAACCTTCAGATTATCCAACGATGGATTGAACAAATCTACCAATGGGCAAGCGTAAGCTAAAATTTATCAAACGTACTACCGTAGCTCGCATTTCTCACCTTTGACACGCTCGTTGTAAATTTCCATCATGCTGGCCTCCACTTTGAACGTGATTTCTAAAGTGTTTGCTTCGATTCGCTCAAAAATCACCGCGGAAGCTGTAGGAATAATCCCTTTGTCGCTGCCGTAGCCTACCATTGAAAAAGACTTTCCAGCGCCTGCAGATATTTAAGTATTACTTCAAGTATTATTTTCATAATTTTTAAACTTATTGCGAACCTGTCTGGCCATACGCAAACAAACTGACGTTGAAGCCGTTCCAGGCGTGTTCAAGTACCTATTCAAGAGCAGGTCAGTCAATTGGATAGGATCCAGTGGGTAGTCTTCCCGCACCTTGATACCAATATCGTCCCATACAGTTTGTTGAGAGGCATAGGCGGGATCGGAAGACGGGACAAAACTGTTGTAGCTGTTGAACATAATGTCTCGGTCAGCCCCTTAGAAAAACATATTTGATTGGCTTGAAGTAGCACCTGTAGTCGAATGTGAACGCCTTCTCGATATTTGTCTCCGGGTCGGTGATGATCGTCTGTTGAGTCTCCCTCACCATACCTGAGTCAACTGTCAGTCTTCGAAAGTCTTTAGGGTCTCGTGGATGTCAACATACGGATGCAAGGTGTGCTCTCCATAGACTTTTCTCGCTCGTTGAACGGGCGAACACGCACCGCCACTTGCACATTCTCGGACATGATTTAATAGTTGTGGCGCGATGGCCAACGCAGCAGATTAATTTGAATGCCTGGTGACGACGATTTTCGGCTCTTATCTACTCTCCGTTTGCAATGAATAATGGTTTGTAACGGTGCCGCATTTAGAATTAAAAAAAATAGCGTAAACAGCGTCGAGGAGTGTTAAGTGCAAGTGTGCCGCGGCGGTAGAAGACACACTACATGCAAATGTGATCTGCTTCGTGCGCACAGATTCCCCACCTTGGTTTTAGTGCCCGTACACTGAAGACACCTCTTCAAGATCTGAGCTTCAGTATGACGACTGGTGAATACTCAGATCAGCTCAACATCGAAATACATGTATCATATAACCTTGTACGAATGCAATTGGCACCAAAGCTCTTTGACCACTTTGTTGTGGGTAAGTGAAACATGACACATGAACTGCCGTATTAACGTTAAATTGCTTTTTGATGCTAACGAACCTTGACTTCAACCACGGTATCAGATTTGTTGAAATCTGGTGTGGCATACACAGCTGATGGTGGCCCTACAACCACCAGCACGCACCGAGAGGGTGCACATTGGCAGAATCGAAGAGGTCTCGGCGGTGGCGGTGGGTCATTGTTCCTCCTTCTCTCGACATTGTCTCCATGCTCACACTTGCCGCTGCTCCACGCGCGCGAGCGGCGCTGCTCGCCACGTCGCACGGCCGGCGGCCGACATTCCGTGTGCCGTCACATGTGATCCGCGTGCTGTCGACTCGCCCCACGGCTGAGGTAGCCGCGGCCACGAGCACTAAGGCAACGGCCACCGCGGCCATTGACGCCGCCGACGTTGCCCCGCTGACCCAAGGCATGACGCTCAAGGAACGCCTTACGATCTACAGCCAGCTGGGCAAGTCGCGTCTTAGTGCATTGGTTGTCATGACCACAGGCGCCGGTTTCCTCATGGCCGGCGGACCCATCTCTTGGAGCACTTTTGCTGCAGCCACAGTGGGTACATCTCTGGCCGCAGTGTCGGCCAACACGTTCAACCAATGCTGGGAGGTGGAGCTGGACGCCAAGATGCAGCGCACGCACCGCCGGCCATTACCCTCGGGACGCATCACGCGACCGCATGCACTGGCCTTCGGAGCTGCTACAGCAACGGCCAGTACGGCCATTCTTGCGGCCGGGTGCAGCCCGCTGGTGGCCTCGCTGGGTGCGTTCAACATTGGTCTCTATTCGCTTGTATACACACCTATGAAGATGAAGAGCGAGTGGAACACGTGGATGGGCTCCATCGTGGGTGCCATCCCGCCAGTTATGGGCTGGGCTGCAGCCACGGGCACAGTTTTGGCGCCCGAAGCTGCACTGCACGCGTACTTACTGTACTGTTGGCAGATGCCTCACTTCTTCGCACTAAGCTGGCGGTCGCGTAAGGACTACGGTCGTGGGGGCTACCAGATGGTGGCATGCAATGACCCCACGGGCTCTCGTAGTGCAGCGTTGGCACTGCGTTACTCGTATTACATGGGTGCGATCCCGATCGTGGCTGCGCTCACAGACGCCACCAGCTACATGTTCGCCGTAGAAGGCACAGTCGTGAACGCGTACACTATCTACCTGGCTCACAAGTTCTACGCCAAACCCAATAACGCAACAGCACAGAAGGTCTTCTTGGCGTCACTATGGTATCTCCCGGTCATTATGGGCTGTATGGTGTTGCACAGCCAGCAGTGGATGGACGACGAAGAAGTTGAAGCCAAGAAGGAAGCGAACGTTTGGCGTGAGGCATTTTTGGGCGAAGTAGAGAACTTTCAGTCGCAGGATCCTTCGGCACACTTGGACGAGAGCTCCATGTCGTCATGGTTAGTCTCCAAGGTGCGTGCCGTTCGTCACAGTCTGCGAGATTTCTGTATCCACGAGAGTTTGTGGGGAGTCAAGGACGGCCAGCATCAGGCCGACGAGTCCAACGTGCTTTGTCCCGTGCACGTGGGTCACCAAGCTAAGGAGACGGTGGCCATTACAGCCCAGGCGTCCAGGAAGGACATGTAAACGTCTATGGAGAGGAAAAACACAATAAAACATTGCAAGAAAGCCCCTTATTTGCCTTCAATCTAAGCATGATCGGGTCACCATTTGATGCCCAACGGGTTCGACTGCTCCATCTTCGGAACAGCATGATACTGCGTATGTAGCACGCCACGTGCTGTGTCGGAGAATGGAACTCCGCCCAAATATTTCTCGTACACGTACTTCACAGCAGGGTTGGCAATAGGGTCACGCACTTGCAGCTCCTGGAAGCGGTTCGTGACATTGTCAAGCAGTTCCGACGCCAACAGCGTCGACTTTGGTCGGATCTGGCCGCCACCATTCAGACATCCACTTGGACATGCCATGATCTCGACGTAGTGATACGGACACCGGTTTCTCCTGATCTTCGTCATGATCGACTGGATGTTGCGGAACCCGTACGCGACAGCGAACTTCAGCACTTCTTTGCCTTCTACAACCAGCGAGACTTCACGGAAGTCCGGATTGCGACCCACAACGTACTCAAGTGGTCCGTTCACATCCACGTTGAAAAGCTCCTTGGCAGCATAACGGAAAATGTGCTCAAGATGGCCGCCTGAACTGGCATTCTGACTGCTGCCTAAGACACTGGAGCCGTCTTCAGACACACCACTCAGCATAACCTCCTCTGGTGTCAGAGTTGCGAGCTCAAGTGAAGCGAAGTCAACATTCAGCGACTCGATCAGCTCGATGATCTCTGTAGTGGCAAGCACGCAGTCCACGTCCTTGGTTGCGTCCTCTGCGTCCTGAAAATCCTTACGCGACGCCTCTAGTTTCTTGTCAAAGCACGGCATCACTGCGACATGGTAGACTTCGCTGGGTTTGACGCCATGCTCACCACTTACGAAGCGCTTGATGATCGAGCCGGCAATTTGTTGCGGCGATTTCGTCGTGTCAATGAACGGAATGGCATTCGGTTGAGACTTTTCAGCATAGCAGATCCATCCAGGACACGACGATGCTAGCATCGGCATCGCTCGAAGCGGGTCTTGCAGCGGATTGGCAGTTGTACTAGGCTCCAAGAACTCGGTCTTAGCGGACGAGACAGCTACAGAAGACGGCGGTCGAGCCCAGATAGTCTTCTGGTGATTACGGTATCTGTGCAGGAATTCTGCACGAGATTCGAGCAGTGCAAAGTCTCCACTGCATGTCGAGTCGATCACGAGGGTTACACCGAGGTTACGGAATAGCGTCACCAGTTTACGGTGGACAGCGACTACGGGCATTTCAAAGTGTGCGGCCAGCGATGCGCGCGACTGTGGCGAGAGTGTGACCACCACACGCTTGTGTTCCTTGGTGGCCAGCACGTCTAGCATCTCCTTGAAACTTTGCTGAGAGATAAGCACAGTCTCTGCAGACGTGACGCAGCCACTGCAGGCGAGACAATCGTCCAACGAAATGGTGGCTTTCTCCTGCGTTGTGGTGCGAATGATGTTGGGCTTGACAGGCTGCGGAACCGCAAAATCCGCGGCCGAGAGCTCTGTCTCCAGTGTAATTTTGGCCAAACCATTGGAGCTGCCATTGCTCTCCGACTTGTCCGATGTGAACAGTGGATTCACACAGGCCTGCGACGGCTGGATATAGTCGTTGAGATCGCCGAGGAATACGGACGCCTGTACCCAAGTAGAGTAGAGTGAGATAAATGCTTTGGTTGGGGTGAAGAACGACCGGTGCTTACCATTCTTCTGCTAAACTTCGAGTGATGTCCGACTGGTGATGCAAAAGTTGATAGTTATCCGGATCCGGATACGTGATGACGCAAACGAGATCAGCAATAAAAAATGTAAAAACGAGGTTTTATTACGATTTTATTGAGTGAGGAAACTGCGCATGCTTCTCGAAGTTATGGATACGCCCATTATGTTTTCGATAAGCTTCGACGATCGTACAGAGCGGCAGGTACCGGTATCCACGCATCCTACGCAGCAGGCTGGAAAAACGCGCTCAGTCACCTCCGTCTATCCAATTGAAGGCGTTGGCGACGACAACTTCACGGCGAGTACATGTACCGGTACTGCAAAGATCCCGATTATTATGGTACCGGTAAGAACATTAGTATACATGGGTAGTTGCTTGACTCTCATGCGGATATGAAGTTTCTGGCACTCTTCAAGTGAGTGGACTATCGATATCCTTCGGGTGCCTAGAAACACCTGCCCTTTCAAAGCGTCAAATTCTTCAAAATGCAGCGTGTAACGAGGCGAACCCGTCCATTTTTTAAATGACCTATAATCTTGAGCTCGCATCGACTTGGGGCGAATTCTGAAGCAGGGTTGAGTATTCATTTTATTGAGAAGCGAAAAGGCATACCGTTCAGACTGAACTTCAGCTACTACATTTATTTTTTAATTTCTGCTGTATAGGCCACAAACCGTAGAGCTGCAATGGATTCAACAATAATGTGACCCACGTTTTCGCTCCAAACCATTGATATGCTGCTGGTGCAGTCATTCTCAAAGCCACCTGAAATTCAGCAGCTAATCTTGCGGCAATCGTGCACCGTAGTACCGTCCAGGCTAACTCTGCGAAAGTCTCAGCTTGGCACCCTCTCAAGATGGAAAACTGCGAGCTGGACTTTGTTTCAAACTTTGACTCATCAGATTTCTTGCCATTTGTTTCTCGGTATTCCAGGAGGTTAGGGCGAAAATAAAATATTTTACAAATACGATCAGGCGTCGTGCATACTTTGCACAAGTGAATCGCCACTGGCTCTTGGTCGAGGCTTTCGAGGGGAGAGAGGAAAGTCGAGAGAAACAACCAGGCGGCACCCCGCGCCTTAAACCGCCTCATAGAGAGAGAGCGCGCAGCCAACAGTGGGGGGACGCGGCCTCCACCGTACACAGACAGATACAGACTCAAGCTGGCGGACAACAGGAATGCCAAGATGCCTCCGGGCGCCTTTGCACGACTAGCGGGGCTACTACTAGCCCTAGCAGGACTCAAGACGGCGAACGCGGCCTTCCCCGAGAGTTTTGCGTATAAATGTGAGAGTAACAAGTGTCTGTACACGACAGACACGTCCGGGACGGTGTATACAGACCCTGTGGCCTGCGTTAAAGAGTGCCGCACGTCGGATCTGCAGAATGTGGACGAAGGCAGCGACCTCTCGGACGTAGCCAGCATGACAGTGACCTCGTCACTTAACGGCACGTGCTCCAACTGCTCGCTCGTGGTCTCGTCCACCTACAATTTCCCACAGATGCTCGAGACGTTTGACCTTACGACGGCCTCTGTGGCTTCCTCGTCCTGCAATTTTACGTGCGAGATCACACTGGACACGCCCACGCTTTGGACATTGGAAGGCTCGTCATCGGACTGTTTTGCAGGCTCAGAAGACACAGACGTGGACTGCTCCAGAGACGGAAATGCCACCATCATGTCGCTGGACGCCGACGCTCTGGGAGTCTTGATGGCGGTTCGTAACAGCTACGAATTCCTAGTGGACCACGTGACGACGAGACTTGGACCAGGCACATTCTCGGAGGATACGACGCTGTCGGTAAAGTTTGAGGGAACAGGCTGTATCGCGTCGTCCAGCAACGCACAACAGGCGTTCCAGCTGGACCTCACGTCGGATTCCTACGAACTTATCGGCACATTTACGAACACGGCGATGGAAGCGACGAACCCTACTATTATGAGCTCCACACCCGTGACGATGAGTGTCACTAGCGGCGCTGTGCTCAGTGCCGGCGCCTTCTTTTTGCTCCGTGTAGCAAGTGACAAGGAAGCCGAGTTCGGAACGTTGATCGAGAATGTCTCGTCGGCTTCGATGACACTTCCAGACTCTGGAAGTTCGTCTCCAGTAGACCTGGAACTATTCGTAGGGGCGTCCAATATCTCCTTCACGATCCCAGATTCGTTTACCGGCAGTATCCAGAATGGACACACAGTCAACATCACGTTCGAGACGTTCCAGAACCCGGCCAACAACTCGGTGGCTATTGATAAAGTGTATCTTTCAGCATACCAAGGCTTGGCTTCGGCCGTGGACAACTCGCCCATCAAGTTTTACTCGCTAGATGACGCCAGTCGGTCACTCAAAGCGGCTCCATTGGATATCGTGACTGTGGTGGTATATGGCGCGTGTTTCCTGTTTTCTCTTGTGATCATCCGATGGCACGGCTTGCCGTTGACTGTGAACACGCTGTGGACAGACTTGGTGGCTATCACGGCGCTCTTTTCCTTCGCTGCGGGGACGGGAGGCTTCCTGGTGTGGGTTATCCAGCCGTCCAAGGCGTACGTTCACTGGTATACAGCTCAGTATTTCTTCAATACGGCGATGATCTTGTCGCTGTGCTTCCATTGGGCTACAGTGCTGTCGTTTAAGTGCTTCAAGAAGCTCAGTTTCACTTCCCCCGTCGTGCTGGCTTATGTGCTGCTCAATGCGTGTGTGTTGGCGTTCATTCTCGTGGTATCGAGTATGGCGGAGGAGAAGCTGGAGTGCGTCTACGACGTAAAGTCCACGTCGTGTTCGTCAGAAGAAGAGTGTGCGCTATCCATCGCTGCAGAGGGAAAGATCGTCCGATCGGCCATTGAGGAGTGCGAAATGGAGGCGTTTTACTTGGCATTTGGCACGGGATTCCTAGTCTACACGCTGATGTTGATGGTACTTGGCTGTATGGTCATGAGTCGTGGGCGAACGCTGATGCTAAACGAAGATACGTCCGACGCGCGGATCCGCAAGAGTCTCACGATCTTCTATGCAATTATCGCGACGACGTGTGTCCTATACGTGTCGGCGCAGGTCATCTACATCGCGCAGTATGTGTCTCAGAAAGGTGAGGACAACCAGCTCTCGGACGCAGTATGGTACATCTTCATCGTGTGGCTGCCACACAGTCTTCCGCCGCTTCTACTGCTCTTCTTACAGTGGAATCCAAGCACTGAGAACTTCCGACAGGACGAAGCACCTTCAGTCGACCAGAGCTCCAAGGAAGATGTGTTTAACTACACGCCACGCTCGTCTGGATCGTCCAGTCACATGCCGTACTCGAAGCTGCTACGTGACCGCTTGAGTATGGGCGATTCGCTGCTAAACAATGATGAACCTGGCAGTCGCTTGCGTCTCATTGTGCGGCTTAAGCTGCCGGCGTCTTTCGACCGTGCGTGCTTCGTGTCGCTCGACTTCTACTCATCGAAGGAGACGATTACATCCAGCAACTCGCTGCACAATTTATCGAACGCAGCAGCTTGGAAATGCGTAGGAACGACGGAGCCCGTCGGCGTGGCAGGAGAGACAGAGTCGGTGCTGACTACAGGCTCGACACACACCATTTTCCCGTTCGTCGCTGTGCTTGAAGTGCCAGTAATTGGCCCAGCGTCCAACACGTTGCTGCGCTTTATGGTGCACGCAAGTACGCTCGGCAAGCGGGAAGGGTCTTCGAATTATCTGGACCGCTCCAGCTCCAGCTCGCGCAGTCAAGACTCGTCGAACCCTCAACTCTCGTTCCAGATGACGATGTTTCATCCAGTATTGGAGTTTGTGACGTCGTCTCAGGCAGTACTAGACGCAGCAGCAAGTGGCCACTCGCTGAACATTCATCCGTCCGACGACCACACGTGTGCTATCCTCGAGGAGTTCTCGTCTTTGCAGAGTGAGATTAACACCATTTTGATGGGCAACGCCAAGAACGCCGAGCTGAGTGTGCAGACGGTCATGATGCCTGGCGATACGTCGAATCGCGACGAGGCTGCGTCGCACAAGAACATCGGCAACATCATCCGCTTCTTCCAGTACGACACGGAAGATGGCGGCGGTGGGTTGGTGGTCGAAGATCTGCAGGAGAGCGTGTACTCGAACGCGATTCCGCGTCAGTTGATCGAGTTGATTGCGGCCGAGAGACAAGAGCAGGCGGATCGTGCGCGTGAGGATCTGCACAGCTTCCTCCACCAGAAGAAGGGCAAGCAGAACATGGGTTTCTACGGCACGTTGATTGGCCAGATTCAGGACGACACAGACTCTTCGCTTGCACGTGAGTGGTTGGAAGACCGTGTGCGACGACGCAAGGAGTATGTGGCTATGCTACGTAGAAATATTCAGTACTTGGTAAACCGCGACAAGCACAAGAACTACTTTAAGGCGAGTGTGGAGAAAAAATCGACCGACTTGCGCTTTGTGCCGATCAATATGCACATCCAAGATCTGCTGATCGGACCGACGAACGCGTTCATCAACGACGAGCGGAGACGATCGTCGAAAGAAGTGTCTGCCTACGACTTCACTACGGTGGGCGCGCCTGCAGCTCACGTGTACAAGTTTAACAAGGGCGGCATCCTCTCGTACCAGAACCGACGCAAGAAAATGGAAGCCAAGATCGCAGACGCAGACTTGGACTTGTCCAAATGGCCCGAGGAAGTTCGTGAGTATGACGACCTCAAGTGGGATCTACAGCTACGTATGGACTGTGCCTTTGCCCAGGCATTAGCAGCACTCACGTGTAGTTTTGTGCGGAAAGTGGAGGTGGCAATCCAGAACCCGGACGTCATCCGTGGCGAAGATATGCTGCGTCAGATGTCCAGTTTGGGGTTCCTGTTCCAGGTGGAATCTCTGTTGTCTACACACGGCAAGGAGATCGGCATGCTGGAAGATATGGCGGGCTCAGTGGAGCATCTGAGTTGTGTGACCTTTGTGATCCAAGATGTGCGTGACAAGCCGACGAATCGCTTCTCGTTCCGCATGTCACGGCGAAAGGATGTGGCGGACGAGGCGGGCGTAGTGAAGGTCACTGTCTCGAACAAGACTGGAGCCAAGCGGTCACATATCAAGTACATTGTGACGATCCAAGTGGCTACAAGTGAAGTGGAGTTGCCTGAACGTCTGGCTGCTGGCGGTGAGATCCACGTGACGCCGGTTTTGTTCTCTCAAGGTATCAATGAGATGCAGACGATTGCTAATAACACTGAACGCGCCAAGACGGAGCTACAGGATGTCATTAACTTCCGCAGTCTGAAGCCGTTGAAGGCGTTCTGCGAAAAGTACCGTCGTCTTGTAGTCGCGATGCCTAATAGCGGCATGAGCGGCTTGTCTTCGAGTCGCAGTCGTGCCGGCTCAACTCGCTACAAGGCCATGTCGACAGACTCGACACTGACGTCTCCGCTGCGCCTCACACAAGATGAAGTAACGCAGGAGCTACGTGCGCTGGAGACGTCAATCAACGAAGCGGCTCAGAGTCTGGTGAAGACGAAGCGTACGGAGATTTTGAAGCGCTCGTCGGACTTGTGTCGGGAACTCGGAGGCGGACGTGTGACGGTTTGTAAGAGTGCCAAGGACCGTACAGCCATGTCGGTGACGCTAGAACAGGTGCGTATCCTGCAGCGTCATCACGATCTACCAGCACATCGCGTCCCAGCCACAGTCTCTGTCATGCGAAGTCACGGCGTACGTATCGAGAATGCTCTCAAGAACACGGGCAAGCGTCAGTTCGCCTTCAACAAACTGCAACGCTCGCTCTTGCCTGAGGATTATCGCTGTCCTGACCAAGTGGGTGGCACGGGTAACGTCAGCTAGAGACGCCATTCACGTTTTCAAGAGACAGAAGCCAAGGTATACAGATCTAATAGTAATTTTTGTGTTTTTTTTTCTTGGCGTTGAGTTAATATTTTCACTTTTTAGAGATCATTGAAATGCATTTGTGTGACGAAAGCTAAAGACTGATTGGAGTTGATATTTGGGCTTGAAACTTCGCTGTCTTCGGCTGCTGCAGTGGCTTTGGCGAAGAAAAGTTCTGGCCCGTGACGTGTTGGCGACGTAGCAAGTCGAACGTCCGTCTCGAGCTGGGTGCGTTTGCGAAGTTTGGCCATCATTTCTTCGTCTGAAATTCCTTTTTCAGCTGCCACTTTTTGCTTCTCGGCCAGCTGCATTTGTTAATGCAATATTTTGAGTTTCAAGAAGGAAAAAAAAAGTAAAAAAAATTGGTAGTCGCACCTCTTTCTTGCGCATAACTTCGGCAAAGTGACGAGAGCTGCTCATTTTCAGGATATCGCGAGACGGTACGAGTACGCTCATCTGTTCGCCAATGTCCGACCCGGTCGCAGAAGCTTTGGAGCGTGCTGTATCGGGCTCATCGTCACTATCTGGGAGGGTGATACCAATCCGAGCGGCCATTAACGAAGCTGAAGGCAAATGCCGTGTCGACGGACGTACTCGAATGTTATTCTCGTGAAGTCGCGGATCATTATTTGTAGTTGGCGACCACATAGCGTTGCCGTCTTCCAACAACTCGAGGTGTGCGTTGTTGCCTCCGTCCTCTGGATTGTTACCTTGTGAGTTTTCATCACCTAAACTGCCACTACCATCCACACCATCATAGCCACCGAAAGTGTTCACAGACGAGCTCGACTGACCCACAATTTCCAAGATTTTGGTGAGTTTGAGCTCCGCTGTGATGAGATATCCTGCGTGCTCACCACCGGACATCAACGATAACATGGAATTCGTCGGGATCATACCACCAGATGAAGTACTTCCAGTCGTACTACCAGAGTTATTATCCCCCAGTCCAGCTTCCAAGACATCGTCGAAAGCTTGAAGTCGCCTTGCCAACCCAAATGATCCTTGTCGAACAGCTGACATGACTCCATCGAGTCGTTCGTAGGCGGATTTGTTCACTTTGTACGTAGCTTTGGCCTGTTGAATCTCGCTCTCCAGTGTGTTGTACACTTCGCGATTGAGTTCGATACCCCCGATACCCGACGCCTTAAGTTCATTAAGCTCTCGAAGTACTAGTTCTTTCTCCTGTCGCACGGCGACTAGACGTTCCTCAGCTTGTGTTTTCTCCTTGTCCAGTGATATACTTGTAGCTGCTTGAGCACCAATCTTCTCGACCACTTCACGTAAGCTAGCGGCCCCCATCGCTAGCTTCATCTCGGATAACACGGCCTCAAAGTCAGCATTCTTTTGTGATTTCACCAAATTAGCAGCATGTAAAGCCTCTTTGTCACGTTCTTTGCTCTCAATGCACTTAATCAATCGAGCTTCCTCCTCCGCTGACAAGTCTCCACGCATCTCCGCTACCATCTCCGCACGTTCTTGAGCTCGCTGCAGCCTCCACGTCTCCATTTTTTGAGAATTTCGTGCTCGAACTTCATGATCTCCCAGTTCTCGTGCTCGAGCCTTCCGCTCCACTTGCAACTGCAATTGCACCTCCTGCAAAAACTGAACAGCACGGCTTTTACCGACCTCGAGTTGCCTGCACAGCGTCTTTACCTCTTCGACTTCACGTTCGCTACTATCAACTGCTGTGGCCATACCAGAGAGCTGTGAGTCAACGCACAACTGAGTGGTTTGTAAGCGCCTGATCATGTGTTCAAGCTGCCGCCGCAGATGCATTTGCTCTTCCATACTGGCTGTGCACTGAGCAATATGTTGCTTAATCTGATTATTCTTCTTGGACACGGGTGTATCCTGGTTCTGTATCTTGCTCAGAGTTTCGTTTTCGAGCTGTAGAACGCGTAACTCGTCCTGATGACAGTAAAAATTTTTTAGTATCTAATTAACATAAGAAACAGTAATATGACAATCGTACCAACAGTTTATGGAGGTCTCGTTGTCTTCGATCTACCGTAAGCTTGAGTTCGTTAAATTTCCGAGCGTTGTGATGCACTCCGTCTTCCAGATATTCAATGTCTCGTTGGCCAGAATCGATCTCTGGAGTAGGATTGCTTGCGTTTCCGTCGTGTAAACTTCGGTTTGAGCTCGATAAGCCACTGTCTCGTCCAGGCAACATGATCGGCGTGCTGGTCTTGCGTACAGCCTCCATGAGCTCGCGTTTGTGCGTGATCTTCTTGAGCTTCTGAGTGGCGAGACCACTTTTACTTCCATTCACACCGTTGCCACCGTTGTTACTCGAATACATTTCATAGGCTCCTTGAGCGGACGTCTCGGAAAGCGGCAGTAATCGCATCCTTCCTGTTAATCCACTACGCTTCTTCGATTGTTTGTCAGTGCTCTTCAAGGGCGTGTTCTGTCACGCAAATTCAAGCGAAATTAACACTAATTTCCATTGCATAGCGTACTGACACGTACCCCTGAAATGTCGGTAAACTCGCTGGCCATGTTGAAAGGATTACCTCTTTTGCTTCACCAAAATGCACAGAGCTCGCGTTCCATGTCGATTCTAAACAATAGGTCTATCGGCTGAAACGACCACTGCAAGTGAATGTGCAAAAAATAACTTGCGGTGCTTAAAGTTAATGGCCTCAACTCACTGTCAATATCGAGAAATGCCAGACTCGCCAAGCAAGAAAAACATGCCATCACCTATCCAGAAGATGGAGCGGGACGCAGCAAATAATATTTGGACTATTTGGTACGCGTCTCAGTATGGCAAGCATAAGCGCGTGCAATCGCTGTTGGATCGCAACGCTGTTTCATCGATCGATGTTCAGGAGTTTGTACGTAAATGAAATTTGGAACGGATGAAAATGGTTCTCACCAATGTTTTTCCTTATTTCTTTTAGAGAACGCAATGGAGTCCGTTGCATTTTGCATGTCGGTACGGACATAGCTCTCTTGTTGCCTTTCTCGTTGCACGAAAGGCAAATGTGGATCTACGAGATTGGCAAGGGAATACACCTCTTCATCTTGCCGCCGGGTGGGGGGATTTGGACTGCGTCACATTGCTTTTAGAGGGGGGAGCTGATGTAAGACGGACCAACAACAGTGGTCAAAGTGCACTAGACGTCGCAGTTTCCTTAGCCCGCAAGGATCATGTTCGACTGCTGAAAGATTGGAAGCCGCTGGGTCTCAGTCCTGAAGGTTTACACTCTCCTCTTAAAGATGCTATTCCACTTGATGCGGCTAATACTTCAAGCTTGCAACAGAGCTAGCGGCGTTCCGACAGAAACTTATCGCCAATAACACGGCGGTGATCAAATTTGAGCGCTCACTCGTGGAAGAACCCAACGCGAATATTAGGTTAGAACTTCAGGCACTCCATTTCAAGCGTCAGTGCTACGGCGAAAGTCATCCTGGACTTCTAGCGACGTACAACAAACTCGTAAATCTTTACAGGTAAGAGTGAACTATATGTCCAGAAAAACGAATAAGAGGAAACTTTGAATGAGTAGGGACAATGGAAAAATAGCCGATGCTCTCTCCATGGCCGACCATGGACTCACGTTGTGTGAATCTACATACGGCCGTCGACATGCCAATACTGCTGGATGGGTTAGTGCTCTCGGCGAATTGCTGCTCTTACGAGAAAACTATGACCAAGCGATTCATTGCTTTGTAGAGGCGTTCAACACGCTTTCCAGGTTGGACTTTTGTGTTAATAATCCTAGGATACACTGCAGTAGTGTAGCTGACTTGAAGGCTGTGAAGCTTGCAAGGAGAAACTGATCACGAGACGATACTTGCGCTGGAAAACTTAGCCATCGCATGTGAGCAGGCAGGGATGTTGAAACTTGCCGAGACACACTTGAAAACACTGCTACGCCTTTTGATGGAGAGATAAGGTGGAGGCTACAATGCCAAACTTTATCATCTCAACGTGCGACTTGCTTCCGTGCTCATGGCCCAGGTAGACTGACTGACTTCCTCTTAATTATTTTCTTACATTTATGCTATTGTTTTTACAGAAGCGAGTGCGAGAAGCTCGAGCGTTGTACGTGCAGTGCTTACCGCATGCTGAAAATCTCTTCGGAGGTACAGACGATCACACTGTGGCGTGCACTGACGATCTAGGCAAATGCTGCTTCATGCTCGGCGAGTTCGCGGTGCGTGGCTGCAACAAGGGTGGGATGCGTTTCGAGTTTGCATCACTTGTCAATCTGCTGTACAGGAGGCAGAGAAGTACTTTAAGCGCTCACTAGCGGCCATCGCTCGTCTACCAGCTCCACGCATCACCGACAGTCAAGAAACAGTATCGTCTTCGACCCGACAGGACCGATTCCGTCGGGCGCAGAGCAATTTGGCCATGACAACCGTGGCTGCAAAGTCCAGCAGTGCAGTGCACGCACAACTTGCATGCCTAGGGTATCTTTAAAAGTCGTAATCGCAAATGGGACTATTATTTTGTGAGAGAATATTAATTGAATTCTTTTTCTTGGCGCAACTTTATTATGGCAACATAAACCGTGTTGAGCCAGCCATCCAGCCATTTGATACCCAAGCAGAGCAGAGAAATATGTCGGAGAAGGCGCCGCAAGTGCTGGGCGGCACGCGTCCCAACATCGACGAGCGTTTCCACCTGAAGGGTGTGGACGAGAACGAGGAGAACAAGGCGCCGGCACCGTCCATCTACACACTGCAGGCTGAGGACGATGTGCCGGAGGTGACGACCATGGAGAGTCTTTGTATGAACTGTCACGAGGATGGCACGACCAAGCTACTGCTCACCATGATCCCATACTTCCGCGAAGTTATCCTCATGTCCTTCGAGTGTGAACACTGTGGCTTCAAGAACAGCGAAGTGCAGTTCGGCGGCAAGGTGCAGGAGCAAGGAGCCAAGATCGAGCTCGAGCTCACCGACCAAGAGGTGCGATGGGCAACATAAATGCAACATCCTATTAAGTACTGACGTTGTGACTATTGCTGCAGGACCTTAACCGTCAGCTGATTAAAGCCGATGCCGGTGTTATCTACTTCCCGTTGCTGGACTTTGAGATCCCACGCGAGACGCAGCGAGGCAGTATTAACACCATTGAAGGAGTGCTACAAAAAGCTATTAAGGATCTGCGCGAGAACCAGGAACATCGTCGTGAGATCGACCCTGAGACCACCGAAAAGATTGACGAGTTCATCGCCAAGCTCGCCTTGATGTCGGCCGGTATCACGCTGCCATTCACGGTGGTGCTAGATGATCCGTCGGGCAACTCGCACATTGAGAACCCTCACGCACCTGCCGCAGACTCAAAATTAAAGGTCACACACTACTACCGCTCGGAACAGCAAGACTTGATTTGTGGCCTGCAGCCTAATATGTCCCACGACGCTCCGTCGCAAGCTCCGCGTGTGCTTCCGCACCGTAATGAAGGTCTGGATAAGTTCGTGGACGAGGCCAACATCGCCAAGAAGGAGGTGATCCAGATCGCTGCCGACTGCTTCGCGTGTCAAGCGCCGGGTTTTTCGTGCATGTGTATGACGGACATTCCCCACTTTAAGGAGGTGATCATCATGTCGTTCAATTGCGAGGCTTGTGGCTTCAAGACCAACGAAGTGAAGGCTGGTGGTGCTATCCCTCCCCAAGGCGAACGTATTACACTCAAAGTGGACCCCAACAAAGACCCAGATGTCATGGATCGCGACATCCTTAAGGCTGACTCTGCATGTGTCAATATTCCCGAGATTGAGCTGGAGATGGCACACGGTTCGCTTGGTGGCCTGTACACGACAGTAGAGGGTCTGCTAGATAAGGTTCGTCAGAACATTGAGGAAGGCAACCCCTTCGCCGTTGGTGACAGTGACGGCGGTCGGTCACTGTTGAACGCCTGGCTGGCGCGTCTTGACGCGCTGAAGCGCGGTACTGAGCCCTTCACGCTCATTCTGGAAGATCCGCTGGCCAACTCTTTCATCTACTCGCCATTTGGAGCGGCTGAGGACGATCCGTACATGACGGCGGAGAAGTTTACGCGCTCCGAGTACGAGGACGACGTGTTGGGTATTTCAGACATGAAGGTGGAGAACTACTCGACTGAAGTTGGTCTGAACAGCATCAGTGAGGAAGAAGAGGCGGAGCCTATTCGTAGTGACAAGGAGACCATGGGTGGCGGCCGCGCTATCGACCCGTCCAAATACCACCCGAACCCGGCGGCCGTCATGGAAGTGCGACAGAAGCTAGAGCAGGAGAAGAAGCAGCAGCTGTAGGATGAGGCGGCAATGGCGGTGAGCTCCAAGCAGAGAGGCTGGCAGAGCCCATGTGACGAGCACCCGCCGTTGCGAATACGTACCAGGCACTCTAAATAGATGACTACTTTTTTGCCACAATTTCATTTTAGTCCGACTATTTTTCAAATTTGAATTGCGCGCCATAAATTACAATCTGTAGCAATGGTGGCGCAACAGAGCGCTGCTGCTTCAGATCGAGATGGCGGGAGCACAGTCCACGAAGCACTGACGATGGAGGAAAAGCTGCGGCGCTGGAAACAGGCCAAAGAAGGCAAGCAAAAGATCACCCTTCACCGTAGAAACAGCGCTGCAGTGATCAAAGAAAATGATCTTTCGGAAACAGGAACTGCAAAGAGGAAACTTACTGATCGTAGAAGGACAACTACGGAGAAAGCGCCGGATATGTTGTGTCTTCGCTTCCCTGCAACCAGGAAACCTCGATACTCGGCTTCTATTCGCCATGCACCGTCAACCTCCCGTCCGATGCCAAGGATACTGGCAACAAAGCGTGCGGTCACTCCGAAGTCAGCGCACAAAGACTTAGGGAGTGCTGAGTCTCCTATTATTATTGAAGAAATTCCAGAATTAAGCCTTGACCGAAGTGATAAGCGAGCACATTCTCAACAAGTCAGCAAGGCGAACACTGCTCTGGAAACGAAGAATCACGTGGAGCCGAACCAGAATTTGTCAACGCCGGTTATTACCGAGAAAAAGACACTGGGACGACTCACTACCGACCCTAACAGGACTAACGGCTCACGCGGTGTGCTGTGTAGCAGTCCTAAAATTCTTCAGATGTCTAAGGAGGATGAAGACGTGCGTACCCCACTTAACAATAACCCCCTAAAGCAGAGGTTCGAGTTGGTAACACCCTTACTCAACTTAGCGACCAGAGACATACCACCCGCTACCATCCAGCCTGTAATAGAACCAGCACCTGCAGCAACACCTCAATATTGGAACGTTAATCCAGCTTTGGACAAGGAGAATCAGGCCGAGGCACTCGTCCCAATTAACATTCCAACTTTTACCGTAGAGAAGAGACCCGAGCTCCTCGCCAAGGTTCTTATCAAAGCTGCAATTGGCTTCCAGAACCAACAGCGAATGGCAACAGCTCTCAGCATTTTCAAGCGGGCGTACCACGTGCTTCCCAAAATGAGCTCCAAATTGGTTGAACGGTTAATGCAACTCGAGCGTGAGCACCCGGCTGCAGCTGACCAAGTTCCTTCTCAAGAGATGTCCACTGCTGCATACATGATAAAAGTTCTCGAGCACGACTTGTTGACCGTTTTGAACCACGGCACCATCAGGGAACTCACAGAGCTACATGCGATCGGAGCCAAGCGAGCTGAATCAGTACTGGAAAAACGACCATATCATCAACTCCAAGAACTGCGACGGGTGCCCAGCATCTCCGTCAACGTCATCGCAGGACTGTACCAGCACCATACAAGCTGGGAAAACCATCTCTGGTAAAGTTGTGATATTAAACGTTGAAACGCTAAAACATTTTTTAAAATGTAGCCATCTCTCTTTCTCCTTCTCATTCGTCAAAATCCCCAATAGCGTAAGATCACGATGGCGATGGCGTGGCAGCTCCAGGAGCAGGAGGAGGCTCGGCGTCTGCGCGCCTTGTTGCAGCAACAACAGCAAGAAGACGAAGAATCTCGACATCTGCGTGTTGGATTGCGTCAACATGGTGCTTCTCGTTGGGAAGACGTGTGCACGGACGCCAGCTTCGTAGAGCGCAGTCGTCGCCGCAAACCCGGCGCAATGAAAGCTCAGGAGCGATATTTACGACGCGATATCCACTGCGGCATAGCTTCATGCTCTACATGTCGTCAGGCGCGCGCATTACTACCGGCACATGCGCTGCCGAGGGTTCAAGACGGCGACGAGTACGTTGTGCCCGATGCCTTTAGTCTACTTCAATGCATGGAACTTCTAGAGGAGGAGACGCTCTTTTGTCGCGCAGCACCACGTCTTCTGGTGCTAGAAAGCGTACTTCAGTCAGCTCTGAGACTGGCACCAAGCCGCGACGCCTCTAGACTCAGGAAATTCTTCCGAGGCGAAGACCAACGCACAGGAGGAGGCGTCAGCGTCTATTTGTTCCCAGATCAACACCATATCGAGACTTTCGTTGAACCAATAGCTTTGGATGAACTGCAATCAGTACGAGACGACCGAGCAGTACTGAAAACTGTGGAATGGTATGCTGCACAGAGCCATTTACCTCGTCAAGCCAAGGTTGTGTTCATGACGAGAGATGTCGATACCTCGGTGAGTATACAACTTGCAGCTTCGGTGAACGCTCAAGCAGTCACCTGCGAGTCGTTCTTAACGGAGAGACTGCCACATAATTCAGCAGATACGGCGTTCTTACTGGAACTAGCAGCTAACACAGCCGAGGCGGTGAGATATGAGGAAGCGCAGCGACTTCCAGACGAATGTGGAAACGTTGTCGGCTCCCAATCAGAATTTCTGCCACATTTGAAGCCGGTACAGCTAGAAGAAGCGCTAGCACACTCATCTTCTCGGATTTTAGCCGGCAAACTCGAAGTGAGCACTCACAACCCGATGGAGGCCTATGTGCTGATCGAAGCGCCCCATGCAGTCGAGAAGGTGTTTGTCTTTGGACGAGCAGCGATGAATCGTGGCGTCCATGGAGACCGCGTGGCTGTGGAGATCCTCCCCAAGGCACATTGGCGTGCACCACAGAGCGATCGACTACTGGTACACTACACACAAGACGAAGAACGTGAGCGCGAGTCCGACAGTGTAGAGGAAGCGGGCGAGCAAGAGTGTGGGGCGATTCCAACGGGACAGATTGTGGGGATTCTCAGTCGCTCGCCGAGGTATCACGTGGCTACAGTCATCGCTTCTACTGTCAGCACAGGAGACGACTATGCGCTTGCAGTCCCAATGGACCAACGTCTGCCCAAGGTCCGCATTCGCTCGCAACGACTGGATGCGCTACTGGATAAACGGCTCAAAGTGGTGATTGACAGCTGGGCTGCGGATAGTTCGTATCCGAATGGACATTACGTTGGGATTCTTGGCACTCCTGGCAGTTTACAGACGGAGTTGAGCGCGTTACTTGTGGATAACGAAGTGGAGGAGGCGCCATTCAGTGAAGCAGCACTCGCTTGTCTCCCGTCCAGTGAAGAGTGTCCCATTGACATCGAAGGTGGCTGTGTGGCGGAGTGTTCGACCGCGAAAAGACCAGCTCGTTGTGGGTTATTGAACTGGGAAGTCCCCGAGGAGGAGACTCCACGACGTCGGGATCTACGTACAACCCACCGGGTCTTCAGTGTTGATCCTCATGGATGTCAAGATATCGACGATGCCATGTCCATCTGTCGCTTACCCAATGGCAACGTGGAGCTGGGCGTGCATATCGCTGACGTCTCATACTTCGTAGAGCACGGCTCCGCATTGGATCTCGAAGGTAGACGTCGTGGAACGACGGTGTACTTGGTGGGACAGCGACTTGATATGCTGCCGTCCGTACTTAGTGCTGACTTGTGTTCTCTTCATGAGAATCGAGATCGCTTTGCGGTCAGTGTCATGTGGGAATTAAATGGAGAGACGTACGATGTCGTGGATAACTCGACGTGGTTTGGTCGGACGATTATTCGTAATTGCTCGTCGATGACGTACGAGCAAGCTCATCGCTTGTTACAGGATGTTAATGCCGATGTTGACGATGTACCAAGACGTGGATCAACAAGGTCTCAACCTCATAAGGACGAGCATGTTGAGGGTGTTGCTGGTGGACGTATTCCTCTACAACTCCAACAAGAAATTCGCGAAGACCTGCGCATGATTACCGATGTGGGTCGTCGACTTAGTCGTACACGAGGCTCTCAAGGTGGCTTGGATCTCTCGAAACAAGAGGAAGTACGTTTTTCTTTGAATGTCTCGGAGTTGGGGCAAGAAGATGTGGAGATTACAGTGAAAGAGAGTCTGGAGATTCACGGTACTATCGCTGAGCTAATGATCTTTGCGAACTCGACTGTGGCTCGCAGACTCGTGGAGTGTTATCCAACCCACGCGTTGTTACGTCGCCATCCACCGCCGTCCGGAGACCGCTTCACACAGCTCGTTCAATTGGCCAAAGCACGCGACGTTGTCATTGACGCTACCAACAACTTCACACTGCAGCAATCTCTCGCAGCTGCTGAACGTTCAGGACGTATGGATATCAAGACAATGTCGCTTTTGAAATCTCTTGCAGTGCGTGTAATGACGGAGGCTGAGTATGTGAGCTCGGGTGCAGTGGCAGCAGGCGACGCAGCATCTGCGAATGGCGACGTCACTCGGTTTGCGCACTACGGTCTGGGTCTGCAATACTACACGCACTTCACGTCTCCGATTCGTCGTTATGCCGACGTGATAGTGCATCGTCAGCTCTTAGCGTCGATTGCAGCTCCAAAGACTCCCTTAAAGTCGACATCCCAACGATATACAAGCATTGCTGCACCGTTGGTGCTGCCAAAGACACTGACACCCTCAGTATTGGACGCTGAAGACGATGAAGACTTCCTAGATGACCTCATCTCGTCTGTAGACAGCCAGCTACAAGTGGCCACCGCTCCAGCTCAAGACGTGGCAGTAAACGAGGCAATTATGGACAGAAGTACCCTCTTCCCAGCTGAAGAACTGGTGCCATTGGCTCGCCATCTCAACAAGAAGAACCGTCAAGCTAAACTTGCAGCTCATGCTTGCGACGCGCTGTTCTTGGCCTTGTACTTCAGTAGCCACACCGTGAAAGTCCCGGCAATTATCACAGCACTTAAGCAGAATGGCTTCATCGTGTATGTGCCCAAGTATGATCTCCGCGCGCCAGTATATCTTCGTGACAAGAGTGGTGTCGTGCAGATGGACCCGCTGCTACTAGGTGTCCGTATCATCGACACTGATCCAGCTACTGGCGCCTTCGCTGGTGCTGAATGCATTCGTTGCATCCCTCAAGCGCAACTTATCTGGGATGATACTGATCGTGAGACTCTCCAAGTTGTTGCTCCAGGCGATGTACGCACAGTGTTCCACATATTAGACGAGGTGGAAGTCCAAGTGTCTTGTGATCTCTCGGCTTCCGGTGCTCGTATACCTCAACTCCAGCTGCTTCTCGTCGGTCGTGCAAGTTCCACTCGCAAGAAACACATCGCGTCGTCCCTGTCAGAACTGCAACGTGTTGTTCAAACCAAGAGCGAAGCTGACAACGTCCCGACCACTGACGTGTCAGAGCCCAACACGGTCGTAGACCCCTCGTCGAATCTCTACGAACTTCTGTTGAATGCCTCCAACTTGTCTCCATGTACCAAGCGTCCCCCACGACGGACACCAGAACACGAAGCAGCAGAGAAGAAACCTGGCTTTAAACGTCGAGGGCCTGGCCGTTTAGTCTTCGGACACTTCTCAACTAACTCGCGTCGTCACTACCAACACAAACTCGCTCAATACATGGATGAACGCTCCGAAGCACGCGAAGAGGAGCTGCGAATCCAACGCTTTGCCAGCGGTTCCTCCGCTATGACGTCGGCACAAGAAGCTCGACGTGCTGAGCGTGAAGCTCTCGTTCGCACACAGAAACTCGCAGCCGAGAAGAGACACGACCGCATTAATCGGCGCAACAAGGCCAAGTAGAAACCACAAGACACTGGGAAAAAGTTCACCAATTTTTCTGCTTTTCTGCTAATCTTTTGGGGGACTAATTAAGTCCCTGAGTTTACTTAGAGCTCAGTCTCCTTGACGATCGAGACGTTGCCGCTGTTAAACTGCGCTGACAGGAAGCTATTGTCGTCCAGACTGTCCATCTCCGAGTCGTCCCCGTATCCCTTGCGGTTCATCATGGCCACGAACTCCTCGAAGCTGATGACTCCGTCTCCGTTGGCGTCCACATCGTTGATGACTTCCTGCGCTTGCTCTTCACTGCCCATGAACTGTACGAGATCAGCCTTGGTGATGTGGCCCGTGTTGGTCGTGTCGAAATAATTAAATGCGTTGATGAGATGCTCCTTCTGATTGGCCAAGTTACGCTTCATGGTAGCTGCCAGGAACTCCGGGTAGTCCACCAGTCCGTCGCCGTCAATGTCGATGCCCTTTACCAACTCCAAGACCTCTTCTTCAATCATACCAAGACCAGTATCACGCAGTGCTTCCGCTAGCTCTGACACGGTAATGACCCCGTTTCCGTCGGTATCAATCGCCATAAACTGGTTCTTCAACTCTGCAATCTCTCCTTCAGTAGCCAAGTCAGCAATGACGCCAAGTGCGGCCTTCTTGAGCTTGTTGTTGCCCGTGAATCGCTTCAGACTCGAGAAGATGTTCGGGTTCAGCGTCATACTCGATCTCGGAGCCGAGCCCGAGATCCACGGGTGCTGTAGCACTTTCCTCAGCTGTCAGACGCTTCGATGGGTCCACTAGCACAGTGGCTGATCAGATCTGGCTACTGATTCCACTGGTTACTTTCGGGGGATTCAAGATCTAAGCCACCGGCCGCCCCGCCAGGGGAGATTCGCGGTTTGCGTTTGGCCTCGAGAAAGCGGCGGTTTTTCCCCCCCCACCAGATATTAAACTAAGGGTTTCGCTTTTTCCCCACACATTCCCCGCGTTCTTTTTCTTAGGGGGCGACCCGCACCCCTCTCGCGGAAAACATGTTTTTTTGGCGTTTTAACCCCCGCGCGTTATATTCCGGAACCCGCGGGCGTCCCATTCGCTTTTTTCCCCGGGCGGGCCCGGCCCAGACCAGACCCAAAGTCAATGACCTTCAGCTCGGCATCTTCGGCTTTAGTAGCGAACAAAAAGTTCTCCGGCTTGAGATCACGGTGGCAAATGTCGCGGTCGTGGCAGTGCTTGACGGCGTCGCAGATCTTGCGGACGAGTACAGCGGCGTCGGCTTCGCTGTAGTGGCCACGTGCAATGATACGGTCGAAGAGCTCTCCACCGGTGCAGAGTTCCGTCACTAAGTGGAGGTGACGGTTGCCCTCACACACGTCGTAGAGTTTGATGATGTTCGGGTGGTCCAAAGTCTTGAGAATGCTAATCTCGCGACGCATCGTCTCTGGACGACTGACTTTGGCCTTAGGGATGGTCTTGATGGCTACTTTCTCACCGGTTACCTTGCTCAGACCCACACGCACTGTGCCATAGTGACCGTGGCCCAGCTCCTTCTTCTCGATGTCGTAGAATTCGTTCACGTCACGCAATTCGCCCGTGATCTGTCAATAATCACGCAGTTTGTGTCAATTTGTGATCTATTCTTGTTAATAATTCACCAGCATTCTGATAACTTACCAGTTCTTTGAATGCCTTGCGCTCGCGTGTCTGCGGGTTGCGGCGCACGGCCGCCGGTGCAGCGGGAGGCAAAGGGGCGCTCGCTGGAGCTGCGGCCTGTTGCGTGGCTTGTGCAGTCTTTTGTTGCTGAGCGCGACGGTGTGATGCGTTGTTGCGCTTGCCGTGTGGCCGCACATTGGCGCCACCGGCGTTGCTGCTGCTGCTGTTGCCCATGAAATGGGGGATCTAGTGCTCGTGGGAGGAATCTGGAGTGAGGGAGGCCGGCGGTGTGATTTTTAGTTCCCCTCGATAAAGCGATCGGATGGGTACAGAAATTGGCGCAACGTTGATGCAACGTAAGATGCAGAATCCGGTAGAGTATCCGCTCGCAATGCGCATTGACGAGGTCGCAGCGAGTTTATCACGCATGCATTCTTGAGAAAGCTTTCGTGTAATGCACCTCCAATTCCATGCACACTGCATCGGTACTATACATGTTGTACATGGACTTGGTCGCTTCCTCGATTTCAACTGTTGGTACGAGATGTACTAGCTAAAAAGAAAGATTGGAACAATTGACGTTTGGAAATAGCGAACACTCAAGATGAACCCAGAGCTAATGTCATGAGGTGACAATTATGGGTGCATCGATACTACTTAAGTACAGTAGATACCATCAACGCTCGATGCCTGCTTTTTTTGCCACAAAATCCACGATTACCGAGCGCGTGATTTTCACGTTAGCATATGCGCCCAATTGTTTATGCCTGAAGATGAAGCCATTTGCGAGACACCATCAACTTGTCGTGAACGGCTTCGTAAACGCACGCCAAATCACTGTGGTGGTTGCGGTGGCTGTTTGTCGGCGCCTTGTACGTGGATTCAAGACAACAGTGTCTGCGGGAACAGCAGTAACGGGCTAGCGTTTGCCGGCAAGTTGCCCGCTTCGAACTCCTCCTGCAAGTGTAGCAAGCTGGCCATGCGCTGGGGTCCCGTTAATACAACTGCAATGTTATTAAGATGTCAACGCAGCATAGATAATTGTATGGGATTCAAGGTCGTCGAGCAGTCAATTATTTTATACTTATTACACAATAGAAAAATAATATTCGACTCGACACAAAGCACTACACGGACTGGCGATTCACAACTTCACTTGCCGTTTCCACCGACCAAAAGCACCTGTTGCCTTCAAAAAGAGCAGCATCTCCAAATGAAGCGGGATCATCCGAGTGCGATGATGAGAAAGCAGGTGCTTGGCCTGAGAGAAGATCCTCTCTGACGTAGGAGGAATGAATTTGCAGTAGAGGGTAGCCCTCTACTGGCTGGTACGTATGTGAGTCATGAATTTTATAAAAACAAATAATTGCCGAAAAATTGGAAATAAATTATTGAATTTTGAGTTTCACCCTACTTAATCAGTTTTCTAAGGGATATTTTATACTTTATCCCTAGTACTTCAGTTTCACCCTACATAATCAGTTTCTTAGGGATATTTTACAATTTATCCTCAGTACTCAAGTTGTATTTATTTATTTGCCCATGCGGAGGGGTCTGCAGGCAGCAATAGCGATTCTTGTTGCTTTCGCTTAGACGCACTTGTCTTGGCTGTATATGCTGCAACAGCTCGTGGCTTCTTTTCTCGATGTCCATGAAGCAATAGTCGTCTCTCTCGGCTGCACTTTGGGCCATCCGCCTGTCTGTCCCAGCAATAATGCAAAATTTTACTTTATTTTAAAATTTATTAATTTTATATACTAGTATCACTTTTATTTTTTCAGAGCGCCAAAGTGTTCCGCAACAAAAACGCACAGCATGATGAACTGTGCATTCGTCAAAGCCTCCGCAACCTTCTTGCAACATTATGTAGTACGATTAGGACTCAAACCGGACGGCACCACCCCCTTTGTTGATGCAAAATGCCGAAGGAGGCTGTGCGTTGAAGTACTACGATAGATGACGGTACAAATCCCGATCCTATTCTCGATCATTCGCACGCCAATGCGGCTGTGTTGCACTCTGGCTTCGCGACTGCAGCGGGACCGAGTGCAAACATACTGATGTTTGTATGCATCGATACATGGTTGGCAGTGAGCCACTGCACAAGTGATGCCGCAGTGGACGGCATCTTACTGATGTCTACTATAAACTTACATGAAGATACTATGAGCTAATCTACGCTGGCGCTCGGGTGTGTGGCAGTGTTTCACTTCAGCTTTTGCTATCAGCAGCAAACAGCTGCCCCACACCAGAATGCCACGGTCCTGTCGAGCTTTGCCCCGGTACTTACTGTGTTAAACGTACTTTTTTTCTACCTGTTCTTGTGTCTACTGCTACTATAGTGTCAGTTTCCCCATGGTACCTGCTCTAAGAAGCGATACACAGCTTGGGAGCAGCCCCCCCTGCGTCACCTCAGGCTATGAGCCCAATCAGGGCGCAGGATTCGGCTGACGTGTCAGCTGGTGGTGACACACCACAGTCGCATTACGCGGTTGAGGGTCTCATTTGCTCATTGGCTTAAATTACGGATGGTCAACCATTCGTCCGTAGGTTGCTTTAAGGTATTCAAGATTTTCATTCTGCGGAAGACCCAAACCAACGGCTGCCCCAGACAGAGGAACAGCACAGCACAACAGCACACCGTCTGTGGAGCAAGCGAGCGCTGGCGAGAGGAAGCCGGCATAGACAGCACTTACCCCGGCGGGAGATACGATGACTAGGAACTGGCGGAGTACACTAAGGCACTGCGCAACTCCCCGGACATTCTGCTGCCCAAGCTCGTGACTAAGGCCGATTACAAGGCGTGACGCAGCGAAGTGCCGCTACACTTTGAGCCACGTACACTAGGTGCTATAGCGTACGGTGGTGAGCGCTTTGACGCTACGCTCGGATACCAGAGACCCAAGTTAAGCGAATGGTACTGCGCACGCAAGAAGAAAACGTTCCCGACTCTCGCACTGTCGTTATCGGTGGACTTGAGGTGTAACGGGGTTACATGGTGTGGAGCACACAGGGGTACGAAGTACCCGGAGAGTTAACAAACGCTCAGTACATAAGTTGGAGAGTTAACAAGGTCTCTCAGTACGTTGGCTGAAAGCCACACGTTATGCATTTGATGAGGTGTTAACTTTGAGCCCTGGTCTTGGGCTGTAAGTGTCCTTTGGATAAGGAACTTAGTATTAGTGACTCTTTGAGTCGAACGTCTTCCTCTGACGCTAAAGCTACGGCAGGCCCGCTGCACTTTGTAGCACTTGTAGTCAATTCCGCTCCTGAGTCGGTTGACTATATCCTCTGCGAGGATGGAACACCCCGTGTTCGCGAATTTGCCCCCGGCGCAGCAGGACGCGCTTACTAAGCTTATGTCCTTGCTTGGCCCGGAGGGCGTGGCTCATCTTGCATCGCAAGGTCCAGAGGCGGTCACTGCCAGGCTGGAATCGTTCTCCCGCTACGAGAACGCGCTCTTGGAGCATGTCCAAGAGAAGATGAGCGCCGCAACGGCGGCGGCGTCGATGACGCGTGAAGAGTCTATGAGACTGAAACCGCTCAAGGTGAGCGTAAAAACCTTCGAGGGGAAGGATGGAGAGAATCTCCTTCTCTGGACCCGTGAGGTCGAGATGGCCATGGGATCGGCCCTGCTCCAGTCTGAGCATCAGCGCGTGGCGCTGGCTATCTCCAGGCTTGGAGGTCGCGCTCGTGAATGGGCACATACGTGCGGCACGTCTGTTGACGCTGCATTTCCCACTTGGGATCAGCTGAAGCAACAGCTTTCGCGCGTGTTCGCGCCGCCTAATCAGGCGTACCGTATCCGGTCAAAGTTCCTTGCCACCCGCCAGGGTAAGAAGGATTTATTGGACTATGTCCAAGAGTTGAGAACTCTTATCGCTGGAATGGCGGTGGACCCTCTTCCGGAACTGGTCAGCGTGACCGTGTTCATGGAGGGACTTCGTGTGAGCGCAGCTCGAACGGAAGTGTTCCGTGTACACCCTAACTCTTTTGAAGAGGTGGTGGATGTGGCATTGAATGCCGAGCACAACTTCAGGTCGGCGCGACCTGGTTGGAGCGCTGGTAGCGCAAGCTCTTCGAGCGGTCCAGAGCCGATGGACCTCAGCTATGCTGAAGATGAAGAAGCGGAGCTTCATGCTGCGGAGCAGCGCGCCGGCATCCGCCGATGCTTTGTGTGCAATAGCACTAAACTTGAGGGCCTATTGCCCGCTGCGCAAGAAGCGCGAGGCTCCAGCGAGCCAACCTCCGGGTCATCGCCGGGAAACGGCAACTCCCAGTAGGCGCGGGGCGGCCTACTGGGGAAGAACTGAGTTCTGTTGTGCCTCGAAGAGGTAGAGGGCAACGGGGCTCAGCCCCGAAGAGATCTGAGCTCTCTTACGAGAAGAGTGTGTGCAAGCCGGGCTTGCTGGTCGTTCAAGCGAACGTGAAGGGCTTTGCAAAGCCATGGAGAGTCTTGATTGACTCGGGAGCCTCGGGCAACTACGCCCGTCGCTCCACCCTAGAAGGGAGTCAGCTGTATGCTGAAGAACTGGAAGTGCCAACGAGAGATACGATCTCTGTCCGTCTCGCGACGGGGACACTGGTAACTGTGTCGAAGGTCTCTGTCGACCTTGGAGTGAAGTTTGAGAACTTCGATAGCGTGGAACGCTGTTTGGTCTTAGACCTGGATGCGAGGTATGACCTCATCCTTGGCATGGCATGGCTGGAACGCCATGAGCCATGAATCGACTGGAAGTCGAAAACGCTAGGTGCGTCGCACCCTGCTCCTAGTGGAGCTTTGGTGAGTCATGAACCCACCTCTGCTAGGAAGCAGAAGCGCTTTTGGCGCGAGCACGAGGCCGAGGCGGCCGTAGTGCTGGACATTGGTATGTCCGAAATTGCTAGCAACGAGGTTGCTGTTTGCCCTGAGGGCGTACGTGGTGCGGCACGTTATCCGCTGAGCGGTGCAGGTCCGGTCAATGACCAACTGCTGGGTCCTGGTGAGGACGAGCGCGGAGTGGCGCGTAATTGGTACGAATCTGGTCGATGACCTACCGCTGCGTGACCCGAGGGTCGCGGTCGACTGCGAGTCGAGGCATCATGGGCGTGGCCCAGGAGATGCAGGTGAAGTGACACCTAGTTCACTGTGTGAAGGTCGAGGACCTCTTGGCTTTCAGCCGTGTGTCTTGCGAGACACTGTATCCTCTTCGAGGAGTGATGGTGCTGCTGCACCCGGTGGTGGTGACGGAGAT